ACTTGTCTTAAATATTCGGAATATTCAGGCAATTCTTTGATATTAACCCCTTCTTCAACTGTTAATCCACATATGGGAAGAAAAATTCTTAATATTAAAATAATAAGAGAAATATTTTTTGAAAACATTTTTATTTCTATAATTAAAAAATACAATTTAAAATAAGAATGAATGGAATGAGAATAGAGAAAATGATAAATCAAATAGTAGTATCACTTGTAATTGTTCTATTTTTATCTAGCATTATTAGTGAGTCAGCTTCACCCATCACTATAAGCATCACCCCTCCTTCAGGAATTGGTCGACTAAATTTTATATTAACGGCTGTTGTACCGTTTCTAATTAAATCAAAAAGTCCACTTTGATCCTCGCCACTATTTGTAAGGTTAAAAACAAAAATGCAATGTGTGTAGGCATATTGCTCAAAAGATATCCCGTTGCTTTCCAAGGAATTTGAAAAACCTATAGCCTCATTCATATCATTAAAAGCTCTCGCGAATTTTCCATTGTGGAAATCCAAGTCATAGGGAGCCTGAGGGTAACTTCGACCGTTAGCAATTATACTAATTTCTCTTATATTGAAGGGTTGAAAATTAAAAGGACTTCTGTCAATAGCTCCCACGTAGTCATTATTTGAGACTAACCCAAGTATTATCCTTCTAGGGATTTGATCCATAAATAAATTTGCATTGAACTCGTAGCGACCTTGACTAATAAATAATGGTTTCATCATTGTCTTCCTTATGGCATATCTTGCGGGTCTAATATCCAACTTTTTTGCTATGTCGAGAGCTAACCCATCCATTATATCGACTTTCTTCACATAAAGCTTACAATTACTTATTTCAAAACGGTAACGATTTGTTTGAGGAATTCCTGCTGCTGTTGGTGGTGCAATTAAAACAAAACGTGAATCATTAGGGAGAATTTCTATATCTATTTCACAATGGTTAATTAAATATAAGGGTTGGTTGAAAAGGTCGGCATCTATCTTTGCCATAAACTGTGCTGTATTGCTTGTCCCAAAACGTGCTTTCCTCAAATTAAAACCTATTCCAGACTGTAAGTTTAATCCTGTGTCTCCATAATACCCTGCTACATTTAGATGGGAATTTTTTGCCGCGGCTGAAAAGCTTAATTCATGTGAGAGATAAGACTTGTAGGCCATTAACGAATTGGAGTTGAAAACCTCTCTTCCATTTATACTAATTCTCATATTATTAATAAACGTATGTCCAATTAATTGTATAGGGGCAACAATGTCGTTTTCGCTTAAATTTACCCATGTGCCGTTTGCACTTTCTTTTCGTATGCGGAATTCAGTAAATAAGTAACATTTTGTGAGGTCAATATAATTTTGACTAGAGTGTATTTTGAAGTGATATGGTGTATCAGTAAGGGGATTACTTGGTAGAATTTCAAAAACTTTTGCTGAAGAAATGCTTACATTTGTGGGAGGAATTTGAAAAAAATCCAAAGCATTTGTAATCGAATTAATACTATCTTTATCTATTTTGTGGTATGCCATTTTGTAATCTTTTTTTTTAATTTAATTAATAAAGTCCGAATGCGTCTGATCTGATTCGTTTTTTGTTAACTTTTCCAATAATGATTTTATGATTTGAGTGGGAATACTTTCTTTTATCTTTTATACTTTTTCTTTGACCACCGCCACTTCCAAATTGTTTTGGCATGCCTCCTTTCTCAAGTAGTGTGTCTATCCCCTTCTTCCCCTCGCTAGTTAGAGCGTCCTTAATATTTTCTCCTTGGTTTACTCTTTCCAACACACGCTGCCCCGTGTTTAAAGCCTCGGCTGATACAGTCGTCCCCACCCGACGAACAATAGGAAGAAAAAAGCGCCAAAGTCCTCGAAGAACATCGCCTATTCCCGCACCTCCCTGTAATCCATATCCTCTTTGAAAAGGGGACGCTCCTTTGAAATAAGTATATGTGTTTTCTAAACCACTTCCTTCTTGTATATTTAAGGGTGTTTGAATAAAGTCGTCATAACCGACTGTTGAAGTATCGAATAAAATATGTACCATTTTTTTAAATTAAATTTATGAAAAATAAATAAATGAATACAGTAAAACGATGGATTTTAAAAATTTATCACTTTTTTGAATATTAATACTATTAAAACTGTTCCGTATGCAAAAGGAACTAATCGTCCATTATCCAAAGTTCTTAATTCTATCTCAATCTCATTAATCTCTCTATGTAGGACACGGGCATAGATAGGTGTATCATAAATTTTTTCATTATATTCTCCTGGTGTTGCGCCAGAAACAGAAACTACTCGCAGAAGGGAGCTGAGTGTATTGCCGATAATCATATTCTCTGTAAGACCGTTTGCATATACAGCAAAACTAGAAAATCCTCCCCTTAGATCAGATCCATATTTTGCAACTTCCTTATTTTTAATGCTTTGCAGATTTTCAAATCCTAAAACGTATCCTAATTGTGGTGACAAAGAAATATGATCAATATTTTCATGAGTAAATAAAAGTCTAAATCTTGCAAAATCTATGTTGTATTCAAAACTAATTGAGTCTATAATATTTTTGATGAGTGTCAAATTTCCACTTAATCGTATACCACCCCTCCATAATAAAAATTTTGAATTATCAATGTAATTATTATTATCCGACACAGTTTCATTCCCTATGGTAAATTCAAACTCTTCTTCTTTCTTTGTTTTATTGTTTTCCTCTTCTTCAATTTCTGCTAATCTTATTGAAAATAAAGGAGTAGTGATGACAGGTGTTACAATTGTTTTCTTAATTCTATCATTTTCTATTTTTTCTAATGATTTTGGTTCTGGATCTTTTCTATCTTTTTCAATTTTAGTAGGGTTTGGTGGTGTAATGACCTTTTCATGTTTTGTTTGACTTTTCTCATTCTTTATTTCCACTTTCTGACCATCTGTTTTTAAAGGTTTTTGAGATGGAACATTCTCATTGGTTTTTATTTTTCCCTCTTTATTGGGTTGCGCAACATATTTTTCTTGTTTTGGTTCGTCTTGAGTCAGTTTTATTTTTTTATTTCCCTCATTTAATATTTGACTATTTTTATCCACTGTTTTTGGAGGGGAGGAAGGAATAATAACCTTTTGACCGTTATTTAATTGTTTTTGTGCATCTGCTATTCTTGGAGGTGATGATAGCTAAGAAAGTAATTAAAATATTTTTGAAAAAAAAAGAATTTTATACTTGACTCTCTTTTGGTGGTGGTGGTGGTGAGGAAGGAACATTTCTTTTTATTCTCGTTTCTAGTCTCGGAGGGGAAACAATTAAATCTTTTGGCGTCCTATCTGGATCGAAAACATGGTCTATTGCTGTAATTTGATGTTTAAGGGTCGAATTTAAAAAATCACATAGTTTTTGAACGTTGGTATGTGATGCCCCTGGGATTGGTATTCGAAGAATATGCTTCTGTCCTAAATCGTCTGTGAAGTGTATTTTTAACCATTGTGCATCTAAAGTGCCAATAGTTGAAGGCCATGAATATGGATAACTTATACTGTGTAATCCACAGACCCAATTTCCATTAAAATAAAGTGGTTTTGGTAAATGTACTCGGAATTTATTAGGTCTATTTGATGAATAATCAGGGACATTACTTGGCAAAAATACGAAAAAACTATTTGACATTTTTATTAAATTTTATTAAAATGATACAATATGAAAAAATGATTTGTCTTTTATACCAAATCTGATTCATGAATCCATTCTCTTTCTGGGTACCCACTAAATTTAACAAGTATATCATATGTTCCATCATCTCTTTTCTTTTTCCGGATAACTTTCTCTATGCGGTACTCTGTTGCCGCATCTTTTCTTACTCTAGACAATTCATCTTCATAAAAGGAACCTTTGAATTTTTCCCCTTTATCGTCACGCAATTTATATAATATAGGATTTACATGATTTTTAACCTTTTCCACCTCTAATATTTCATCTCCCCAATTTGGTAGATAGCCTTTTTCGAAATGACCTTTGTCTCGACTAATTCTTACGTAATCATCTTTTTTGAATTTTGGTTTCTTAGTATTTTTAATTGAAAAAATATTTCCATAAATTTTCTTCCAAACTTTTTGAGCATTTTTAAAATTTACATCTATTGGACGCATTCCATGCACACGACAGTAAGATTTATTAATTCCTTCAATAATTTTTGGTAAAGTATCTATCCAATTAAGTTTGTGATTTTGGGAAAAATATCGGTAAAGTCTTTGTTTTAAGTTTCTAATAGCCCTTTCGGCGAGAGATGCCTTCACTGTAGAATGAGTGGGTTCATATTTTGATATTTCTTCTCTTTCAAAATATTCTTTTAATAAACGATTTTTAAATTCAGTCCCTTTGTCTGAAAATATCCTGTGGGGTTTCATTGGCATTTGAGTAATAAGATTACGAAAGGCTTCCAACATGTCTTCTGATTTTTTTGATTTTAAAGGGGTAGTAAAGACTCTTTTGGACAATACATCTATTCCCAATAGTATATAGCGATTTCCTTCATTATGTCTAGAAAGAGACTGCATATCAGCTAAATCCACTTGTACATCTGTCATAAAGCCTGCTGCAATAGTTTTACTTCTTTTAAAATTCACCCTCTTTTGGCGCATAAGGGTATAGGTACGATGCCCCTCCAAATAATTCTTGATTACATTTCTTGGTATATGTTTATACGTTTTCTTTGCCTCCCGCCATAAACTATCTACACCCGCATAAGCTGAAGGAGAATTGGGATCATTATAAAGTTTGTCGAGAAGTTTTGTAAAGTCGGCCATCTTTAAAGAAAATTACCAAAGTGTCGGTTTAAATTTATTAATATCCTCTTGTGTAGGTTTTTGTTTTGCCCATTTATTTTTTCCTAATTTGAACCTTGCAGCGGCTAATCTTTTAATCCAACTTTTTGATGCAATTTCAGATTGTTTCTTTGTAACAGGTCTTCTAACTCTTTTAATAGGGATAAGATTAGTTCCTTCAGGAATAACAAATTTTCTTTTTAATTTTTGACGCCTTTTGACATCATCTTCCTTTCTAGCTTGAGCTAATGCTGCTTGATCTATAGGGACTTTATATTTTTTAATATTTCTTTTTCTTTCTAAGACTTTTCTTTTTCTCTCTTCTTGCGCAATCTCTTTCAATCTTTCTTGCTTAGGATTACTATTTCTTCTTCGCTTATACAAATTTGAGTCATTCGAGTCTAGGTCTCTTTTTGATACTTCTAAAGGTATAGGAGGTGAAGGACTTAATGGTGCATTTTGTGATGCTACAATAGAGTCTGGCTCTACAGTATCTTCAGTTGGCGAAATTTTTTTATTTGTTTTTCTTTTTGGTTTTCTTTTCTTTTTTATATCTCTCTTTATTTTAATTCTTTTACCATTATTTTTAAAATTTCTTTCTAAAGCTTGATTTGATGTAGGTCTGGGATCTAGTTCTATATTTTGACCACTTGTAGTTGATGAATGATTTGAAGATGAAGAGAGAGACGGGACAATATTGTATGCATGATTAGGGGGTTCTTGGGGATAATATGAAAAAGAATTGTCACTAATCCAGTTATCGTCATTATCTATCTCATCATTTGCAGAAATATACGATGCGCGCCGTGAATTACTTTTGGGTATAATAGTCCCTTTAGATTTATTGTTAACAAGTTCAACTTTAACTGGCCTATTTTCGCGTTCATTTCTCAATTGTAAATACCGCCTCAATTCTTGATTATAGTGTACATTTTTAGATGATTCACTTTCTTTTTTTCTTTTAGATCTTTCTAAAGCACGACGAGTAAAATCTAGATTTGGTTCACCTACATCACTTGTTGTAAGACCACGATAAATATCCTCAGGGACAAGAATGAATTTATTTGCCATATTTTTTAAATTTTTATTTAAAATTTTTTAAATGAATAATATGAAATGAATAACTAATTTGTGTCGGTATCACTTTTTATAATTTTTCTTCCTATTTCTATAAGTATAGGGGTAAGAAGAGCTGTAAGGACCCCTCCAAATCCACTTCCCTTCTGTGAAATAATTTTTCTTGCCCCTCTCTCACTTCTAGCACGACTCATGCGGCGGACAAATTCAGCATACGGTAAAAGACGTTTTCTCTGGCGAGTAGTTAGTTTATACCGCGATTTTACTATATTCAAACATATTTCAGCGATGGAAAGAAGTTGTTGGCTATTGGCTTGTTTAAGCATGCGATGACGTTTTCTCTCCGATTTAGATTTGGCCAATAATTTTAAAAAATCTTTATTATTTATTATAAGTGAACTAATATTGCACTGAGATTTAGACCCCATTTTTAGGAATGAAAATTATTTTTTCGTTGTCGTCTTTAAAAATATTAGTACGAAGCCGTAATGTTGGATCTGAAGAAGCATGCATATCAATTAATAGGTATCCATAAGGAATGCTTGTTGCTTGCCGATAGGAATCGAGAAAATAATCCAATTTCTTGGGGAAAAGTTGAGAACCAATGTTTCTTACGGAAAGAACAGAGTTTGGCGATCGCATAATAACTATATATTGTGCATTTTGTCTGGCAACTTTAATTTTCTTTTCAAATAAGTTTTGTGTTACAAATACTATAGAAAAATTTTGATGGTGTGACTTTTTAGTAAATAATTCTGACAAATATTTTTCATCTATAGATAGCAATAAATCGTCTAAAATAACCAGAGAAGGTTTTGGAAGTCTTTTAATTACATCTTCGGGTGGCACACCAGCGAATACACTTACACCAGATTTTTGAAGAACGGGGACAATATTACTCATTTCACCAAAACAATAGAGAATACTTTTAGGAGGGGGATCGATTAAATCTAATGCTTGGGTAATAAATTTTAGGAGAAAAGTACTCTTTCCACTGGAACTTGGTCCGGAAATAATTAGACCGAATGGTAGTTTAAATTTCAATTCTTTATTAGAGAAGTTAATTAATTCCATTAAAAATAATAAATAATAGTAAATACAAATAAATGGTTTTAAATTTAAAAAGATTGAAAGTTTACAAATCAATGAATCGGTATATTGTCTAAATTTTCAATATGAGGGGGACTTTCTATAACCTCTTTTTTCTGTTCTTCTTTAATTTTTTCTTGGCAAATTTCTTTTTCTATCTTAACTTCGCTCGTAGTAGTGGAATTAGTAGTGCCTATGTTGTCGAAGAATTCCTGAAGAATATTTTCGAATTCTTCATCGGCTGGGATTTCTTGCTTTATCTTTTTAGGTGAAGGCGGTTTTATTGGTGATACTTCAACATCATTTTTCTCAGGCTGAATATTTTTAATAATAGGAGTCGCTGCACATGGTGGGGATCCATGTTCAATGTTGAAAATTCGGCCTTTGTTCTTGATCTATAATTTTGAAAAAATAGAATTATTAAATTTTAATAATAAATACTTTAAAAAAGCAGTGGCCTGGAAGATCATGGATGGTGTCAAACGGTATAAACGTAGGTGTTTTGATTCGCGTACAATAACAAGTCACTCCCTCCTTGGTGACAACAAAGTCGAGTTCCACTTCGGATCCCTTACATTCTCGACAGCGTCCGGCATGGTCGAATGGTACAAAACGAGGGGTAGAAATACGCTCAGAAGCAGAAATAGTGAGACCATTCGCTGTAATATTAAATTCTATTTCAGGAAGAATTTGTCCTATGAGAGCTTTTTTGTTGGACATATTGATTGCCATTATTTTTTGGAAAAATTTTAAGAATGATTTTAGAAAATAGTAGGAAATTTAATTTAACCTTAAAAAGTTTAATTTTTAAAATTTTTAATTAAAAAAAGTTTATAAAAATAAGCCACGCCCTTCGTGAGGCATATAGAGTAAAACGGATGAAAATGGGCGGTCGAGAAAATCTCCTTTGAATATGAGAATGGCTATATATGGTCATGCCTTTCCTTACATTCATTTGGAAATATTCGAGAAAGGAGAGATATTTCTCCTTCCATAAATTTTATAAAAATAGGAATTTATTTTATAAGAATAGAAATCTATTCTTAGATTATTTTTCAATAATTTATTATTATCTCAATATTTTTGATCTATTATTTTATATTTTCAATTTATCATTTAAATTTAAATAATTTATTTTTTAATTTAATTTATAAATATTATTTTATATTTTTACTAGAATTTTTTTAATACTTTGCATTTAATTATTATTTTTCATTTTAGAATATTTACAGTAAATCTTTTTTGATTTTCAGCTCTCTTTCTGACCTTTTTTACAATGAAACAAATAAAAATTACTACTTTCTTTAAGCCGAAAAAAGTAAGCTGAAAAAATCTGATAAAGTAATTTAAAAATAAAATTTAGGCTGACAAGTCTATACAAACTACTCAGCCACACATTTCCTCTTTCATAGAGAAGTATCCGCACTTTCTAACGATCCCCAATCCTTATTACTTACCACATTATGGATTGGTGCAGAATGCCTTGACAGGCAAAATTAATATTTCGTCAGTTGATCCACTTCCAGACGTAATATTTATATCTATTCTTAAGAAATTTTCTTTATTTATTAGGAATTCTGGGTGCGGGTTTCAAAAGTTAATTTTATGGAAATTGTAAATTCTGTAAAGAATATGCAGTGTGTAAATTACAAAGGGGAAATGCATCCTTTTGTGAAACAACCAGAGGCTGAAAAAGAAATGGAGCCTTTTTGGAAAAATGAAGGTGTACGAGTTGAGATGATGGACGTTTCTTCAATTGAAGTATTTATTTTTTATAAAAACAAAATATTATTTATAAATTTAAAGAGTTCAACAATATCAAAAGAAACAACAACGCCAACATGGTTTTCACCAATTTGTTCTTCTACACCGCGTGATTCGCCGGTGTCAATTATTAATTCATCACCGGCACTGCTTGCAGAGCCGTATTTGGCTGATTATTTGAATGAGGATGACTCATTCTTCTGAATTGAGTTGAGGTAGATAAAAATCAAAACAAAGTTTTTGTCTATCTTAAAATATTGAAAACTAAAATATTGAACCCTTTCTAAATTTTAAGATTTAAAAATAGAATTTGAAAAAAAGAAAGGGTTCAACAAACTTAATCCTACTATTTTTTCTAAATATATTTTATTTTAAAAAATCCTCAACATTTATTTTTTTAATTTTTAAATAAAGTATTTTGAAAAAAAAATATTAAATAATTGAAATTTTGAAAATATTTTTAAATAATTGAATTTTTTAAAACTTTAAACTTTTTTCACTTTTTTATTTTCAACTTCTATATTTTCATTTTTCTTTAAATTTTCTTTTCCTCCCATCGTATCCATTTCAATTTCATGGACATCCACTCGTTGCTTTGTTACAAGGCAATGAAGAGGGAGTGGAGGACCAATGTCCTCTTTCTTGATTGGTTGACGGACTAAAAATTTGAAAATTTATATTTGTTTATTTTTCCAAGTGTATTAACCTCTTCGGGTGTGAACTCGAAGATCCGGAGCAAAAATTCGTTCCTCGCGACGACGTTTTTGTTGTTGCTCCATTCTGCGTCCATTATGATAACGTTCCACAAGCCAGGAACCAAACAAACATAACTAGAATTTAAGGGAATATTGCTTAGTTTAAAATATAAAAAATTATTTTTAAACCTGGAGCCCCAAAATGGCAAACAAAATAAAATACACAAAATAAAAAGAACAATTAAATTCCCCAGGTTGTTGAAGAAAATTTAAAATATTGGGGATGGAATTATGCGCGCAAATTATGGGTTTGCTGTAAAGCTCTGGCCTATAGCAATTATTTTCAGCTATAGGACACGAGCAATTAGCAACAGGGATCCAAGTTAAGTTAGAAGGGAAATTTTGCATTTTTTATATTAGGGTTAAAAGAATGTTTGAAGAATAAATATTACCAAAAAGTTTGTCCTGCTTATATATCCACCAAAATTGACACATATTTTTTAATATAAACAATTGAATAAATTTGCTTTTTGATAAATTTTCTTTCCGCTCTAAAATAACAAAAATTTTATATATAAACACGTGTTAATAGCTTAAAAATTCTTTTAATTGTTGCCGCGCAAAAATAAAGAATTATTTGTCCTTTGACACTTCTTTTTTCCTTTGCCTTTCATTGGCTACATTAAAAGAAATTATTTGTTTCTTACATTTTAGCCAAAAAAAGATATTATCCTAGTTAGCACTTTGTCCGACTTATTATTTATAAATTGCGGTTATATAAAGGAAAAATAAAATTGACCGATTATTCAGAGATTGCGGTAATATCAATAATGAAAAATTTGTAAAAAGAAAAGTTTTGGTATATTTAAATTGTATAAAAATATTTAAGTTGATTTCAAAAATAAAACTTTACAAAATTTTACCGTCGCGGTTTTTAAAAATTTGCGCGAAAATCACCGTCGTGGATTGCGCGAAAATCACCGTCGCGGATTTTTATAGCGGAAACCATTTGTAATTATTTATGTAATTTTTGCCGGCTTCATCAAAGCCGACAAATACAAATTGCGACAAGATAAACCGTTAATATACCCTTTTACTAGGTTTTAATTGTCCAGCTGTCAATAATTGTTCCTAAACAATTGTAGACCAAATGTCCTTTTTGTGACAGCCGCGACGGTGAGGGTGGGATAACTACTGTAGCACCCCGAAACCAGACGAATTTTTAGGTAAAAACCTCGACCCGAAGGCTCGGAGTGCTACCCTAGTTTTGACCCTATTTGGAGAGTGGGCCCTCTACTAAACTATAGCCCAATAATTTTTTCTAGCACTATTTTTACTTGGAATTTCACTCGTCTTTAAAATTTTTTCCTCCTAAGAATTTTAAAATTTTATTTTATTCAATAATTGTTTAAAATTTATGGTCACAAAAGTACAGAAAATAAATGGTGAATTAAAATCAAATAGTCAAAAATAAATCATGAGGAGAATGTTAAATGATTTTTGAGATCGGTCTAATTCTTCATCATTTATTTGTTAAGTGGCTTTTTCTTCTTATTGGTAATAACAAAATCATCATCATCGTCATCCTCTATTATCTGGCGCCGTTTTTCTTTCTTCTTCATGACAACTACATCTGGATCAGGTTCATCGTCGTCGTCGACTATTTGTCGACGTTTCTCTTTCTTCTTGACAATAAAATCAGAATCCGAATCACTATCATCTTTGACTTGACGCTTTTTAATCTTTTCCATCTTTATTTTTGGTTTGATTTTCCCTGCATTTGCTTCTTTAGTTTCCTTCTCTTCCTAAAATTATAATTTTAGAAAAAATTTTAATTCAAGGGAATTTAAGAAAAATATTTTGTTAAATACCCAACCTGTGCATCCAAAGCATCCAAAAATGTTTTCAAGTCTTCCTCGTATAAATCAAACCATTCCTTTCCTTTCAAAATATTCAATTCCTTCTTTTTTGCTTCACTTTCAGCAAGCAATTTATCTTTGTCTTCCATAGATAATTTCCAAATAGCCATTCCAACTAAATAATCATAGTCAGAAACCTTCTTTTCAAGTTCGACGTTGACAGCTTCATTTTCTTCAGCCTCGTCCTAAGATAAAAAATAGTTTAGTGATGAAGAATTTTTAATTCAAGGGAACTCTTCCTCATCTTCGGTAAGATGAACGATCAAAATCGTCCCAATGAATTCGAACCAAATGACCTTTAGTCATGGTTAATCCAAAAATCTAATGACATACGTGCCATACCCAGGCTGTCCCCATCAATTTATAATTACAATCGATAGTAAATCAATTTGACCCAGGTAATTAAATCTTTATAAAAATATATTACCTCTTCCTCATCTTCGGTAAGATTTGCTTCCCCACACATTTCCAATTCTTTACGTTTTTGTTCCTCCTTCCACTGTTTTACAGGATCTGGCTTGAACTTATGTTTTTGCAATTGTTCAATAATTGCAGACTTCCTTTTGTTCTCAATATGAATTTCTCCGTTAATTTTCATCATAATAAAGCGGGCCTTTTCACTTAATTGATTACTTTGTGCTTGCAACATTCCCTCAAGATATGCCTTCCTCTTCTTATACAATTCCTTTCTACAGTCAAAGAATTCTTGGCATATTTGTTCAGGCGTTTCAAATTTACGTAGACAACCTGCTGCATCAAACAAAACCTTCAAAAATTTTTAAATTAAAAAAAATAACTAAAAATAAATAACCATGTTCGAAGTATTAATACTTGATTTAAGCGAGAACACATCGTACAATCCTTTTTGTTCTGCTTTTGCCATGTCATCTGGTTTTAATCTACAAATAAAGTGCACAGTAGTGTCTGTATGATATTCTTTGTAGTCTTGAAGTAGTTGCGGTTTATTCTTCTCTGAACCATCAAACATTGGTTCAATAATTTTCTCTTTGTAAGTTTGTGTCCAAGTTTTGACAGGAAGTTCAGTAATTTCAACTGTGCCATTCTCAATTACATTAATAATGCCACGAGATTCAAATTTGCCATTATTGTTGCTACCAACTATTTCGCCAGTAAACCCTTTATACCATGGAATCTGAAAAGTATTAAATTAAAATTACACAACAATCTTTGAAATTACAAGATAGTGACTTAAACTTTGAAAGTTAAGGAAACAAATTTCCCAGAAGATTCTGTTCCATGGAAAACAATAATTAAAGCAAAAATTTTGTCCAATTCCGGACTTATTTTTTGGTATACCTACAGCCAAACTACAAACAAAAATATCACGGGACCGCCGGGTGATACTCAAGGATCCAAAAATGACAATTAACATTCAAAATCAAAAATTATTAACCATAGGCTGAAGAGGATCTCCTTTGATTAAACGACGCATTTGGTCGACCAATTCACGAGGATTGTAATTTGGAACTACTGTAGACCATCCAGTTCCAATACCTTCAGCTCCATTTGCAAGAACAGTTGGAATAACAGGACAATACCATTCCGGCTCAATTCGTTGATTTTCTTCATAAAGGAAACGAAGAACATTTTCATCAGATGGAGGGAAAAGAGTTTTAGTTACAGGACTAAATAATAAATAAGTGATTCTAAAAATATTCAAACACATACTTAAGCTGAGTGAAAATATAACGAGGTGAAGCATTATCTTTTCCTCCTTGTAATCGAGTACCAAATTGACCAATTGGCATTAACAGATTGATGTTATTAGAGCCAACATAGTTTTGAGCCAAATTCACAATTGTTGACATTAATGATTGTTCCCCATGATGATATGCTGACATTTCACCAACAGCACCAGCCAATTGTGCAACTTTGACTTCTTTTTTATCGGCGCGTTTGAAACAAGTGAAGAGAACCTAAAAAATATGCAAATATAAAATAAGAAATATAAAAAACAAAAGATAACCTTCCTCTGTCCAGGTTTCAATCCATCTACCAAACTCGGAATGGAGCGTTCATTGTCTGTATTCGAAAAAAGCACCAATTCTTTATTAATAAATTCCGAAAAGGTAACACTCCGAGTATCTTTATCATAAAGATAGATATCCATATCTCCACGTTCACGGCGCCGTTTTCTGTCCTAAAATAAAAATTAAATTTTCCATAAATTAAAATTCACCTCCATCCATTTTGTTAACCAATCCTTTCGATCTTCAATCTTCTTTTTGGAAAAGGCTAATTCAATAGCACTGTCATCATCTTCATCTCTATATTTGAAAGGAATGCGATGGCGAAGCATATTTGAGAAATATTCTTTTGCTTCAATTGATGTTGAAGTACCCAATCCTTAACCACAAAATATTATTTAATAAAAAGAAATTCCAATAATTACCCTTATAATATTTTATTTTCCAGGATTTCCAATTATCAGTTGATTTTCTCCATTCAACATATTCAGGGATTGAAAAGAAACTGCGAGATTCTTTTCCCTTAGACGCCTTAACAATTGGAGTAATAAATTCTTCAACAAAGTTACGCCGAATTAAGGAAGGCCAATTTGAATGAATAAAGTTGATGACCAATCCTTTGATGTGAGAACCATCTTGATCCTAGAATAAGAAAAAAATTAAACATTATCCTTCATAAATATGTACGTCACAAATAAATATGTAAGTACATCACAAATCACAAAAAAAAATACAATCAAGTTCCCCGATAATAAAAACTTATTTAGAGAGAATTCAAAAATAACAGTATTTAAAATTACCTGATCAGCCATTATCATAATCTTTCCATAACGAAGAGAATCCAAATCAGCGTCAACATCATACTTCTTTTTATATTGAAGACCAATAATTTTAATCATATTATTAATTTCAGCATTGTCCGTTATCTAGGAAAACAATTCGTATAAAATTATCCAGAAAACACAACCTGTTTATGATTTGCATCTCTAACATTTAAAAGCTTTCCACGAAGAGGAAAAACACCATAAAAATCTCGACCGATAACTCCCAAACCAGCAACAGCCAAAGTTTTGGCTGAATCTCCTTCAGTTAGAATAAGCGTACATTTACGAGAATTACGAGTTCCAGCTTCGTTCGCATCTTCCAATTTGGCAACTCCCTTAAAATAAAAATTAAACTAGCAAAGATTTAAAAATAAACCTTTAGCTTTGCAGTCTTTTTCCCTCCAATTTTATCTTTTTGCTGATTTTGCTTAAATTGAACCCAGTTCAAAACAAGATCGACAATTCCACATTTTTGTGCTTCTTTCAAAAACTTTTCACTCAATTCACACTTTGAACCAAAGCTTTTTGCAGGTAAAGTAAGCGTCTCTTTTGTTTGTGAGTCGAATGCAGGATTCTCAATTAAGGAATTGACAAAAACCCACATATGATTCTTTATTTGTGCTGGTTTAACTGTCATATTATTCTTTCCAACTTTCTTCTTTACAATTTCAACAAGACTGCCAGCAATTTGATTAGCAACTAAATCAACATGAGTTCCACCCTTTAATATAAATTTAAAAATTAAAAAGCTTTCTTTTCCAAAAAAACCTTTGGCGTAGAAATGCTGTTAACAAAAGAAACTTGTTTAAAATTTCCAGTGTCAGAAATACACAAAGCAACCTCCCAACGGTCACTAACGGTCTCAAAAGAAACTTTGACAGGAGTACCATCATCATTATGCAGTTGACTTGTATATTGTTCAACATATTGTTTAAAGCCTTGACACTAAAAATTTTTATAAAAAAATTTAAAAATCAAAATCAAACAGGGATTTTCTTTCCATTCAGAAAAACTTTAACTCCACGAGTCGTCCCAGCCATATCATATGCTCGACGTGACATTAATCCAATTATATCATCATCCAATTCTTCCATTTTGAAAAGCTTCAAATCTGGTTGAAAAACAACTTTTGTGTAATCATCCTTTGTACTGTCCGAAATTGTTGCTTCCCCTTGCTTTTTCATACTATTAACCCAAGTCTTAAAAAGGAAATTATGAAATAATTTAAAAATTACAAAAAAGACCTGCTTGAATTTCCGACCATACTCAGAACTAGAAGTTTCAACAGTAAACTTTTTGCTAAAAATATTGGTCAGCTTAGCCCCATAACCATTTCGACCACCAGTCGTCTTCTTCTCGTTATCATTGTAATTTGAAGAGGTAAGCAACGTTCCGAAAATCATCTCTGGCACATACATCTTTTCAACCTTGTGCATAACAACAGGAATTCCACGACCATTATTCCAAACAGAGATCGAGTTATTTTCCCTAAATTTGAACTTAATTCAAAATAAAAAAACAAACTTGTCAATATCAACTTTGATTGTATTCATTTTGGGATCTCTTTGTTTATTGTCAGCAGCATTTACAAGAATTTCATCAAATATCTTGTACAATCCAGGCACATAAGATATTTCTCGATAAACAAGTTTATCGGCTTCTGAATCGTAGACCCAAGTTGACTAAAATAATAAATTAAGGTTAATAGTTTACAAAGTTAGTTAGGCATTTTGATTTAATAATTCATTCAACCCCCGTTACCTCTGGTGCCACATTACCCATCACTGAAATCGATTAGTTTGGAAAAGGGGAAAATCGATTTTAGGAAAAAGACCTCCTCAATTCATGAATAACAACAAAATTAAAGCTTTAAAGAATACATCAATTTACCGTTTGTGTGTATTGAATAGATCCTATATAAGTATCAGGTCGAAGAAGAACATGTTCAAGCTGCGAGACTTTCTTATAAGTTGCCTCAATATCCACAGACATTGTCCGTTTTTTCCTTATTGAAGCTCTAAAAATAGATAAAAATTAATTTAAAGGTAAAAATAAACATACAAAACTACTTTCCTACAAAAATTGAATAATTTTAAATGCAAGTTGCTAGGTGAGGTATAGGACAGAAATATTTTTTTAAATCTATGTTGAGATTCTAAAATACTAAATATAAATCAAAAATTAACGAAAAACTAATTAAAAATAATAAACATAAAATAAAATGAGAAAAATCGGAACAGGATCATTGAGTCCCGCCGATTGAGTCCCGCCGTTTGAGTCCCGCCGGTTGAGTCCCGAGCCGTTTGAGTCCCAGCCGATTGAGTCCCGCCGGTTGAGTCCCCACCCTAATGGGGACGTTTGAGTCCCCGTGTTTATTTTTTGGATTTGGAGGGATTGAAAGGGATATAGTTGCATTTAGAATAATTAAGGGGATAATCAAGAGATTCTGATGTGATATTAAGTCAATCCTGAATTCAGGAAACGAGTTACAGACCCTAAAAGCAAAAAAGGGGATAAAATTCAATTTTGGGTGAAAAATTTTTAATATACAAATGACAGCTCATTCGAATGGGCTCGACAAGCTGAGTTGAACGACACCAAAATCAGCTTGATTGAATGATTCTGAACAAAGTTTTGACCAACAGAATCTTCGCTGGAAAAACTTTTTGTGGCGCTACGGAGGGTAGGGTCGCTATAAAATTACTAACGTAAAAACCCTTTCCTAATTTAAAAAATTAAATTTAAATTAATTTTTTACTAATAAAAATTAAATTTTTACTTACACAAGATTCTCATCCTCCTTGAGAAAGTTCATTGCCCGGATGGACTTGGGTGATTGATCTGGTCAACTAATTAACAAAATTAGTTGAAAACTCCAAAAAAAAACAAAAATATTAAAAAAACAATAGAAAATCTTAAAAATAAACACGGGGACTCAAACGTCCCCATTAGGGTGGGGACTCAACCGGCGGGACTCAATCGGCTGGGACTCAAACGGCTCGGGACTCAACCGGCGGGACTCAACCGGCGGGACTCAAACGGCGGGACTCAATCGGCGGGACTCAATGATCCCCCGCCCAGAAAAATCGTGCAAAAGTACTTATAAACAAAAAAAAATTAAAGCCAGACAGATTCGAAAAAATTCAAATTGGCATGATGATAGTAAAAAGGTCGATTCAGTGTTAGTTTGCACGGTTCGGTACTACGCGATACTCTCAAAATGACGAATCGGTATTTTCCGTTACTTGTAGTATTGGTACCGCAAGAATCCAATTGCCGAACACTATTTAGAACCATAACATTCTTGATTTTCGTCCGATTCGAATAATTCTCACTCAAGAGAAGGATTTATATTAACAAGGCACAATAACGACCCTTGGCTAAGAACTGGCCTTGTCTGTCAGAGTCTGACTATTGTACAAGAAAGGCAAAAATAACCAGTCATAGATTTGATAAAAATGGGAAGATATCCTCACATTCAAAGCTTTCGAAAGATAAAAGATTTATTTGAATTGGTTGAAAAGCTAAAAAGATTGTCTGAAATATGGCTCAGGGACCCAACTGGCGGGACTCAATAATACCCGCCCAGATTTTACAGTATTTCCAATGAATATTTGGCCCATAAAAGGTGTGCTGCTGCAAAGCAAAAGCTTCACTCTAGATTTCCGAATCTTGCACGATTTTGTAACGCTTCCTCTCATCGAGCAAAAGAGACTGGTACCAAAATTGATTTTTTCAAGCCAGAAATTTTCAAGCAAATTATGGCTTTTATGGCCGCGCACCCTTTGGGCTTTACCCATAAATATTCTTATTTTACTCGAAAAATACTTTTCATTATTTCCGCACTTTGTTAGATAATTGTTTAATAAATTTAGTTAAAAATGGGACGTCGTCCAGCTCGCTGTTATCGTTATATTAAAAATAAGCCTTATCCAAAATCACGCTTTTGTCGGGGTGTTCCAGATCCGAAAATTCGTATTTTTGATCTTGGTCGAAAACGGGCAACTGTTGATGAATTTCCGTGTTGTGTTCACATGATTTCTAATGAAAGAGAACATCTCTCTTCTGAGGTTTATTTTTGTGAATTAATTTTAGTCATTTCTTTTAGGCGTTAGAAGCAGCTCGTATTTGTGCTAACAAATATATGGTTAAAAATTGCGGAAAAGATGGTTTTCATATGCGTGTTCGTATTCACCCGTTAGTTTTTAATGTTTTTATTCCCTTTTGTTTATTACATGTTTTATTGATTCTGTACATGGTTAGTGAATGAGTAAACGTTTTAGTTTATTTGCACGGTTTTTAGTATCCCAATAATCAAAAACGACTCTCTAACTTATAACAGTCTTTTTGCGCGAGTCCAAGCTTTTTAAGCCTTAACTAAATACAGTTTCAAAAGGTAGTTTGTTTTTGGGAAAAAATTACAAATCTTGGACATAAATTAACCGTTTACTAAACAGCAATCTTTGGTTGAGTTTGTTTCGTCTTTGTTTAATCTAACAATAAACCTTAAGCAGAAATTATTTTCCTTTTAAGATTCCACGTGATTCGCATTAACAAAATGTTATCATGTGCTGGCGCTGATCGCCTTCAAACTGGAATGCGAGGAGCTTTTGGAAAGCCTCAAGGACTTGTTGCGCGTGTTGGTATCGGTACTGTTTTGATGTCTGTACGTGTTCGTGATCAGGTTTGATTAAACTTTATTTTCTTGTGACTATTTATTTTTAAGCATCAAGCTCATGCTTTGGAAGCATTCCGACGTGCAAAGTTTAAATTCCCTGGACGTCAATATATTGTTGTTTCTCGAAAATGGGGATTTACTCAATTTGATCGGGAAGTTTATGAAAATTATCGTAAAGAAGGGCGTGTTGTGCCTGATGGAGTGCATTGTAAGCTAATTAGAGAGCATGGGCCTTTGACTCATTGGATTAAGAATCCGATATAAGATTTTATTTTGATTGGTGAAATGTTGAAGGATATTTTGTTAAGATAAATTTGTTGAATAAAAATTTGGATATTTTTTTATTTCGTTAATTGATCGATATTTTTATATATTTTTGTTGTTTTGACTTTTATGATAATAATTTCGTTTTTCTCTTTATATATGGATTTTTCTGATCTCTTATCGCGTCAAATGGAGAAGCTGAATATGGCTGATGCTGAACGTAATGAACGCAGAGAGGCTGCAGAGAAATTTCGTATGGTGATTGGGACATTGCTGGATAAGGATGAGGGTTATGCTTATATGAAGGTTTTTTAAGACATTTCTCTAATTTCTCTCAAAAATTTATTTTTCAGCGAAAGCAGACAAAGCCAAAGGAATTAATTCCATTTCGTATTGTCTATACTCGTGAGTTCATTCTGCGTTGTTCTTCTTCGCCATATTCAACACTTCCACCAAAGAATATGCCTGGAATTGTTATGGAAATGCCTGATATCGCTGCTAAATTTCCCCGTAGATTCCTTCGTGCTGGTTGAGAGAAGAAAGAAAAAGTAATAACAAAAAAAGGAAGAAAGGTTATTAATAAAAAAAGAAATGGGTATAAAAAAAGAAAAGGATCTCTCTCTTTCTTTTAAATATATTAATTTTGTTCTATTTGATTGTTTATTTAAAACTTGAATATCTCCTCTAATTATTTATTTTACTTGGCTTTAAAAAACACATATTGTCTGAATAAATTGTTTAAATATATTTGGTGGGTGTAAAGAAGTTATTAAATGTTTTTAAAGAAAATATTTTTCTTTTTTAAATGTACTTAAAAGACGTTCTTTTAATCTAAAAAAATTTTTTAGATTAAAATAATTCGAATGTTTTCATATTTTCGATTAACTTTTAATTTATTTAAAAATGTGAAAGAATTCCCTTTTATTCAAAAAGACTTTGGGTCAATCAGAACAATTCATTCAACTTGTATTCTTAATTGGGATGGATTGTTGGATGTTTGTTTTTAAATTTAAAAATTAATAATTTTTGGGTAATTTTGATGAGGTTTCTCAGCGGAGATTATCGAAATTTGATCTCTTGTAAGAGTTTTGAAAAATAAAAATATTAACAAAGAAGGAGATAATATTAGGTAATTAATTTTTAAATTATTTAAGCATAAATATATAAATTGGCCAATTAAATACGAACATCAGCCAAAAGATAGAAGGCCGATTAAAGGATATCATTACATTAAAGGAGTTGTTTTGAAAAGTTTTTTTAACTTTTTAAGTAAAAAATTCTTTTAATTTTTTAGCTTTAATTAAACATCCAAAAAAACCAAATTCTGGGAATAGACAATGTGCTTTAGTTCGTTTAGATACTGGAAAAGAAGTTATTGCTTATATTCCTGGGGAGGGACATAATTTGCAAGAGCATAGCCAGGTTATTCTTTTACAAAACTAGATAGTTGATGTGAGGGGGGGGGGGTGAGTGAGAGACAGAAAACTTTTGTAATCAGACAGAAATTCTAGAAATAGGGGAAGCTTTTCAATTTTATTAACAAAAAAATATTTAAAGGTTCATGTTCGAGGTGGAAGAAAAAGAGATTTAATTGGAGTTAAATGCTGTATTGTTAGAGGAGCTTTAGATTGTGCACCCGTTAGAAAAAAGAAGACAGCTTAATTTTAGAGGTGTTTTTTGTGGAAATTAAATAAAAATTGATTTTAGTTTAAATTTTTGAGAGATAGTTTATCTTTAAACATTTTTAAAAAAATATTTATTTAAATAAAAAATCCCTTTTATTTATTTATACACAATACTACAATCAACAACAACAAATACATACATATATATTCTTTTTATTTTTTCCCTTCTCGTTCCGATAGAAATGCCGATATTGTAGGGTAAGGATCCACTTCCTCTTTTTTCAAACCCTCATTCTTAATTCTTGCCTCTTTTGCATCCAAGGCGAATGATCTTGGTTTGATTGGTTCATTACTTAAATGCTTTAAAAAAGGGAAAATTTTTATTAAAATATTTTGAATGTAAATTATTTAGCATTTAAATTAGTATATTCCCCTTCTAAATCAAATTAAAATTTCCTATCCCCTTTTGGAAAATTAAAAATAGTTTTTAGGCTCTCTCTTTCCCTCCCTCTTAAAAATTTATTTTTTGTTCCCGGGGTCTTCCTTTCTATGTGATACCCCTTTTTTGATGGTAGTACTAAAGGTAAAGTATCTAATTAATTAAATACTTACAACATCGTCCAAAAGTGATTGTGAATTATCTCCATCATCCCCCTTTTTGCTACGTTTGTGTTTCTTTGAATGTTTAGATTTTTTGGAATGTTTAGACTTTTTAGATTTTTTAGAGCGTTTAGATATCTTTTTGGGTTGTTGTTTTGAATGGTTTTTCTTAGCTGTTGTCGGCTCTTCAGAATTAACTTTATTCTTCTTTTCTGCATTGTTTGCAGGCGGAATTGGAGTAGTTATTTTTTTACCGGCATTAACATCAACTTCTTTCTAAATTAAAAAGGAAATGATTTAGAATCTTTTAGAATATTTACCTTCTTTACTGGAGATTTAGTTGTCTTTTTATTTGCAGTTTTGGTTTTCTTCGTTGTCTTCGGCTTTACTTTTTCTTCTTTCTTCTTCGAACAATTAAAAAGAGTAATTGTTATAGCAGAAATTGAAAGAGACAAAAATAAAACTAGAGAGGGTGTTGCTGTCGTTGTCCAAAACATTTTATTTTGAAGAGATGCCAAACAACAAAAGCAGAAAAATATTCAGGAAATTTTAGCAGCAGAAAGGAGGAAATAGGGAAGGATGCCATTTGTTTAATTGCTTTTATAGTCAAAAATAAACTTCCTCTTGATTACTACAATTGTGAATATTTTAATCAACATTTACACTCTCCTGAATGAATTTCTTTGTTATCATTTTCCATTTTTAAAAACGAAAATAATTTAAAATAACAATTTATTCCAATTTAAAAAAATACAAAAATCAAAAAGAGATTAATTTTAAAAATAAAAACATTTTCTCTCTTCTCTAAAATTTGAGAGAATTCCTCCATTCAATTAAAATTTTAATAAAAATTGCAAAAATAATAAAATTAAAAAATCCGGGATTGTTTTTGGGAGGAGGCTAATTCAATATTTGATATATAAATAGATAATTAGTTAAAATTGTTGTCAACACAGCAATTTAAATTACTTCAAAAAAATTCTTTGTTTAATTTTGTAATTTCGACCTCTTCCCAATGGAAGATTATTTTTAAAAAATTACTAATAAATTGCTGTGTATAAATAACTAAAAAAATAACTCAAAAAAGGCACACAAACCCACAATAATAAAAATAACAATAAAAAAATTCTTTTAAACTTTCCAAAAAATTCCTTTCCTTTTAATGTTTAAATATTCCATTAGGTAAATGTTCATTTCCTTCTTTTTTAAAATTTGCCAATTTTTTAGCCAATTCTGGACGAATTTCTAATTTTTTTGGTTTTTCCCAAGGAAAAATAGAATGTCCAAAATGTCCATTAGCCGCTGTATGAGAATAAATTGGACGTTTTAAATTAAGTTCTCTTTAAAAAAATAAAAATAATTTCTGTAAAAATTAACCCTAAAAAACCTTATAATAACTCCCGGACGTAAATCAAAATTGTCATTAACTATTTGAAGTAATTCAGCTTCCGTTAATGGACTTGTTCCGTAGAGATTACAGCAATAGATAATGGATGGGATATTGCTATTGCATATGAAACCTTTTTAAAAAGAAAATTTTTAATTGATAATTGGAAAGAGGAATTCAGAAATTTTTTTAAATAAATTTTTCAAAAATTAAAACAAACCTGTACTAAACATCTACGACAAACTCCACCCTTAACCAAAGATTTAGCCACCCAACGAGCCCCGTAGGCAGCAGAACGATCAACTTTTGACGGATCTTTTCCAGAAAAAGCTCCCCCTCCGTGTGCTCCCCAACCTCCATAAGTGTCGACAATTATTTTTCGTCCAGTTAGGCCTGCATCACATTGAGGCCCTCCAATATGGAAAGTTCCTTTAAAATTGGGAAAGATTTTAGATAATTAATTAAAAATTCCTTACCACACGGATTTAAATAATAAATTGTTTTTTCGTCTAATAAATTGCTTGGAATGACTTTTTTAATAACTTTCTCTAACAAATCATGACGAACAATTTCCAAATCATTTTCGAATTGTTTGTGTTGGGCAGACATTACAACCTTTTTTTAATTAAAAGAAAATAAAATATTTTAGATTTAAAAAAAGAAACTAACAGTATGTACTCTAATTGGTATACAAGCTCCATTATTGAATTTATATTCAATTGTTAACTAAAAAAAGTTGAGAAAAAAATTAATTGAAGATTTTATAGGGCAAGAACTTGTCCAAATTTTAATAAAAACCTGTGATTTAGAATCAGGCAAAGACCATTCCAGTTCTCCTTCTTTTCTTAATTTACACAATTTAGCTTGTAATTGATGTGCAAGAAGAAGAGATAAAGGCATAGCCTCATCTGTTTCATCAGTCGCATAACCAAACATTAAACCCTTTTTTGAAGAAAATTTTATTTATTTTATTTTAGAAAGATTTAGGGAAAATAATTTAAGAAATGTCAGAAATATTAACCCTTTTTCCCAACAAAAATAAATTAAAACATTCATTTCAAAAAATATTTTCAATTAAAAACCTGATCTCCAGCCCCAATATCCTCGTCACATCTATTCTCCCAAACACCTGCAGCGATTTCGGATGCTTGTTGTTCTAATGCAACCATTACATTACAAGTTCTATGATCAAAACCTTTAAATAAAAAATTATGAAATTTAAAGAATCAAAAAAAACCTTTACTAGAATCATCAAAACCAATTTGTTTAACAACCCCTCTAACTAATTTTTGATAATCAACGTGTGCTTTACTTGTTACTTCTCCACAAAGTAGAATCATTCCAGTTTTTGTAACAACCTCTAAAAAAAGAAAATATTTAATTTAAAGTAGTGGACTCCCTTTTGTTGTATGTTTTGAATTTTCGAATAAAGAATTCAAAAAACAATTTTTAAATTCCTCTCATTGTTTCAACAAACCCAATTTTTCCTCATTAAAATTTTCAAAAAATTTAACTAACCACAAGCAACTTTAGCATTAGGATCTTGTTCTAAATGTGCATCCAAAACAGCATCCGAAATCATATCACACATCTTGTCTGGATGTCCTTCCCCCACAGATTCACTTGTAAACAGAAATGTCTGTTCTCTCGCTTCTAAATAATTTTTATTGAAAAAAAATTTTTTTTTAAATTAAAAACCTGGAACAATATCAACATCCATTTTTTGTTGTTTAAAATTAAATTAAAATGTGAAAATTATTTAGTATAAAATTAGAAAAATCTGAAAAAAATAAAAGTAAAAGATGATGGAAAAAGATAACAAAAGACAAAAAAACATCGAACGATTTTTACATAAATTAAATAAAATTACATCATTTTTTATAAAAATTATTTTAATTTCAAAAGTTTAAATAATATTTTGCTTTCTGTAAAAAGGCAACTGTTCTTAAAAAATGATTGATTGAAGTAAGAAATATTTCTAAATTTATTTAATTATGTAGACAAACTTTGTTAAAAGAGTAAATTAATTAAAGATTAAAAAGCAAAAGAGAAATTATTTATTTTACATTTAAAAAAGTAGACAAATAAAAAAAGAACTTTTACTTTTAAAAAGAAAATCTTTTAAACAAATTAACAAAATATTTATTTATTTTAATCTACTTAAATTGTGAACTTTTATTTTTTTAAAGTTTAAATAAAAGTTAAAATAAACAAATTCAATTAATTAAGATAATTTAAAATTAAAAATAATTATAAGGATATTATTTATTTTCCTTTTTTCAAATAATATCAACATTTTTTAAATTTATTTATAAAATATTTTTGTTGTCTCAGATTCAACTAAAGGCAAATAATTAAATAATTCTGTTGGATCCAAAATATAATTTAAAGCCTTTAAGAAAAAATATTTTTATTTAAATAAAAATAAAAACCTCTTTATTTAATTTTGAATAATTTTCTTCTTTTTTAGTCCATTCCCTTATCAAATATAAATTATTTTCTTTTTCACCATATAAACGTGTATCTAAAATTCTAACCATCACGTGATCAACTCGAAGATAAAAACGACACAAAACAAAAAAAGTGCCAGGCATTATTCTTATTCTAATCATCATCTTTAGAAAAAAATTATTTTTTTGTTGTCTCCGAAATAAATCTTTTTTAAATAAAAAAAAGTTGAGGGCAAAAAACTGCTTTTTTTATTTCTTGAACTTTTTTTAGATAATATCAGAAAATAAAAAAACAAGAAAAATAAGGATATTTAAATTTGTAAAAGGATTTGAAAATTGGAAATAATTTCTGAAGCGATTAATTAATTAAAATAAAGAGTTTATAAATTTTGTGGCAATTAGTTTTTTAAATAAAATTAAGAAAATTACTTGTGCACATCCATTATCTGCCAATTCATCCTCATATAAGGCAATTTGTGAATAAAATTGAATTGGGTCTTTTCTTTTTAATTTTTCATAATTAATTTTAACATTATTCCCCTTCTCTATTTTTATATTTTTCCCCAAAGTACCTAGAAAAAATTTAAAAAGGAATATATTTTTATTTTAAATATATTCTTTTACCTTTATAATTACTTGTATATGTCCAATCAAAAGGTTTTTGAAATTCTCGAGATAAAGTCTCTGGCCGAGCATTTTGCCAAACAGTACTTGGGCCAACCTAAATTAAAAAAAATTATTGTGATGCCGCTCTAAATTTTCCCTTGTTCGGCATGATAAAAAAAAGAGAAAATAAAATGATTTTTTTTCTTAAAAATAAATAAATTTACCTTAAAATCAGGTAATTGTTCTTTATTAACTTCTTTAAGAGCATCAAAAGCATTAAATTCAATAACAAGATTTCCATTACAATAAATTGCAATTTTATTAAAAGGGAATATCATTTCTGGTAAATGAGGTAAACCCAATTGTTTTTCAAAGCGACAGACCTTTAAAAATAATTTAATAATTCACAAACCCGTCTGTCAGGCAAAACAAGAAAAAGAAATTTTGTTTTATAATTAAAAAATAAAACCTAAATTTTAAAAAATTTATTGGAGAAAAAACTTTTTGACCAACAAGAAAATATTTTTTCACAATTTACCTAAAAACCCCACTTAAGGATCCGAACAATTAAACCATTTTTAAGTTACCTGACATTCGTCTTCTTTAATATTTTCGTGTCTACAAACAGATTCAAGTATATGATCCTGTATAGACACAAATTCTATACAATTATGAAATAAATGTCTTTCCTTTAAAAATAATTTTTTAAAAATAAAATTACAAAAAAACCTCTTTCCTACTTTTCCCTAAAGCAGTAATTAATACTTGATTGTTTAAATTTGTTTTTTGCTTTTTGATTAAATCTGAGTTTAAAATTGGCGGAAATTTTGTGTCTTCAGATGATGTCGACTGCATTGAAATAATTAAATAATATTGAGATTCTCCCTTGGAATATTTTTTTAAATAATTTGAAACAAAAACTATTCAAGGCTAAAATATATATCTTAAAATTCTTTCTAATAAATAAAAACAAATAAAAAATAGTATCGATATTTTATAAAAATTTAAAAATAAAATTCTTTCATAAAATAATTCTTTTTATAAAACAGAATTATTTATACAATGTTCAAGCAAACTAAATGAAAATTAAATTTGTAAAAAAATATTTTTTTAAATCATTCTGAATAATTTCTCTTTTTAATTATTTCCCGAATTATTGTAATTTGGCTCAGTAAATGAAGAAAAAGGCTAAAAATTTATTTTTTTAATTTTTATCTAAAAAATAACCTCTTGAATTGAATTATTTGGCAAAGAAGTGGCAGAATTAACGTCATAATTATTTACATCCATAGAATCTAAAATTTATATTTTAATAATTTACAAAAACAAAAATACTTTGGAATTAAAAAATTGAGAAATTTTCGTTTTAAAATAAAAAAAGAAACAAAAAATCAAATTACAATATGAAAAAATAAAATTCATCCCAAAGCCTTATTTAACTTATAAAATATATAATCTAAATACCTCCACTTTCAGAAGTACTTGAAGGTCTCGATTGATCTCTTAAAATGCTAGAATCATGTTGTATCATACAATTAACAATTGATTCAAGTGTTTGACGAACAAAAAGCGCAAATTGATCCAATTCATTAAATACCTTAAATTTAAACTAAAAAAAGATTTTAAAAATTCCTTACAGCTTCTCCATTCGCATTTGATTGAGGCCTTACTCTAATACGTTCATTAAACATATTAGCAATTTGTTCACCTCTAATAGAAGGAACACGTTGACCAGATAATGAACGATTATGAAAAATTTGATGTGGTTGTAATTGTGGAGGTGGATGAAGACCCAAAGCTATAGTTTGTGGGTCATTCCAAAACTCAGCGTCTCTCTTTAAAATTTGAAAATAAAAAAAATTACAAAAAATATTCACCGGATTGACTGCAAGAATAGGTGGATGAACATTAGGTAAATGCTGACCCATAGGCAACAGATGATCTGTAGATTGAGAACTAATGCCAACTAACATAATATTACGTGGCTACAAATAAAAATAACGATAATATATTTTAATAAACTAACAGTTGGACGTGGATCAGCAGGTCTAGAAGTTTGTTGTCCCGTAGAAGCAATACTCTGCGATATTAATTGATGAACATGATTTGCAATTTCTGGCGGTAAATTTGAAGGAGGATTAAAAAAATCAGATGGAAGAGGCACTCGAGGTGGAATATTTGGTTGATTTTCATTAGAATTGGTGGTAGATGAACGTTCAGAAGAGGAAGAAGTGTCATCGTTGTTTTGGCGAGACATTACTTTAAAAATAAATTGTTTAAATAATATTTTAGTATAAAAAATATTCTTTAGAGAGAGAGAATAAAAATAAAATAATAAAAAACATTTTAAAAAAACACTTAAAAATCTTTACATTGTTGTGCAAAATGAGTAAATCCATTAATGACAGAACTTAAAGTACTAGAACCAGAAGCTCTTGTTTGTTGACGGGGCAAAGAATTCGAACGTGAAGCTTGGGTAGCTTGATTTCGAGATGTTGGCGTTTGACTAGGCAAATCTAAAAAAATAGATTTTAGTGATTATTAAATATAGATCTACTTAAAAAGTATAATTTAATTTGAAAATATTCCAAAAAAAAATTAAAAAATACTTGTAGAAGCATCAGAAAATAAAAGAGAAATCTCAGCCCGTAAAGGTTCTTCTATTCTTCTATGTTGGTCATAAATTGGATATAAACGATTATGTTGATTTTGATTTAAATGTAAATGAAATGCACTAATTTCAATATGAATATACCCAAGAATATTTTGAATACGAGAAATTCCATTACAAAAATAATTAAGTAAACGAGATGTATAAGAATTATCCTAAAAATTATATAAAATTGGAATTTTAAACAAAAAACCTCCAAATTATGATTTAAAGCAAGAATTTGATAATAACGATTCATTAAATGTTCATTGATTTTAGCTTCAATAATAGACAAAATAATGAGAATAGTACTCAAATCATGGGAAGTACAATGCCTAAAAGTAAAAAATTGAAAATTTCCGAAAATTAAAAAAACAAACCTAACAATAGCCGGATGATGCAAATTATTAATATGTTGAATATGGTCATCATCATTAGGTATTTGCCAATTATTTAATTGTTCAATTAATGAACAAATCTCAATATCTCTCTCATTTTGAATTAAATTATTCATTTGAATTTCATCACAAGCATCAAATGCATGCATAACCCACAAAATATTTGCAATATTTCTATATTGCCTTTCAATGTCCAATTCTTGTCCATAAATTATTAAATCAATTTTATCAATTAATTGAGACTAAAAAATAAAATTTTTATAAAAAACTTTTCTTAAACCTTAATCAAAGCAAAAAGCCATGCAAGACTTTTAATTGAATTTTTTAAATTGTCAAAACGTTCATATGCGGAACTATCAATAATAAGTTGTCGAATACTTCGAAAAGTAACATTTATTAAAAAATCATTATTGCGTGGCATATTCATAACCAAAGCGTGTTCCGTCTCCATTCGATAAATATTTCTTAAAGTTTCAGTAATACCACCAACAATTGTCTGAAAAAATTAAAAAAATTTTGAAAACAAAAAATCTTTACCAAAGCATTATTTGGCTCTCTAAAAATTTGAGTTCTTTCAAACGGCACTTGCCCATAAATAACATTCTGAGTAACAATGTGTGGCTGATTTGCTGCTGTATAATTAATTTGAATATTTGGCGGAAATTGCTGTTGTTCAGTTGAAGAAGAACTAGAAGTGGTGGAATTATTATTTTGAGGAATTGGTCGAGTAACAACATGAACAGCCATTTTATCTTCAAAACCACAATTAATAAGCTTTAATGAATTGTCATTTAAAGGCTTTCCTCGAAAAATTATTCGCTGGTCATCTCTAGGAATTAAAGTTTCTTCAGCAATTTTATCACGAAGTTGTGAGATAGTACTCTTAAACAAAAAAAATTAAAAATAAAAATAAAGTTAGAAACCTGATCATCAATAATAATTGAAGCATCTTCACGATCAATCAATTTTATAGGTAAATTAATTAAAACCATCTAAAATTTAATGAAAATTATAAATTTAAATAATTTTTCAGTGTAAAAAAACTAGTAAAAATAGAAAAAATGAATAAAAAAATTAAATGGATTAAAAAAGTCAACCATTTGTTTCTTACAAGAAAAGAAACAAAAAGAATTACTCGCGATTTCGGGAAATAATTAAATTATAAATTAAATTTATGAAACGATGTTTTGTTTTCTTAAAATTAAATTGGTAAAGCAAATAATTTTTAATTATTTGGTTAAGTGAAAATTAAATTTTGAAATTTCGACATTTTGAAATTTCAAAATGTTAAATTTTAAAATATCAAATTAATTGTACGATTGAAATGTCAAAAGTGATATTATTTTCTTAACAAAAGATTGAAGACCATTATTTACTTTAATTTTGATTTAAAAAATAATTTTTAGTGATATTTAGATTGAATTGATTGTTCTTTTTAATATTTTTTGATAGAAAATATTTACTTAATTAAAGAAGCTAAAGTTATTAAAGTAAAATGTCCAATCCAGCATTAAATACATTTTATTCATTATCTACTATTGGATTTTCAATACTTTTAATTATGGGTTTGTTTTTAGATGATTTTAAAGACCACAATTTAATTTTTAGGTTTTTATTATATGTTTACTGGACAAGGCGATCGTTTTGATATTGCATGGTTTTTGACTGAGACACCTCCTCATATGTGGGCTGGTATTGGCATCGCAGCTTCCCTTTCTCTTTCTGTTATTGGAGCTGGATGGTTTGTTTTTATTTAATTTGTTAACACTTTCCAATGAGAAGGTTTGGTCCTTTTTGAATTATAATATGTCTCAATCCTGTATTTCAAACTCGATCCAGGCCTTGTTTTTCTCAATCATTTTAAAATTCGTGATTTTAAAATTTGTAAACAAATCAAAAATTTAATTGATTATTAGGGGAATTTTCACAACTGGAGCATCAATTTTGGGTGGAGGAGTCAAAGCGCCACGAATTCGAACAAAGAATTTGGTTTCGATTATTTTTTGTGAAGCAGTGGCAATTTTTGGAATTATTATGGCCTTTGTTTTTGCTGGAAAATTTGCGGTAATTTTTTTAAATTTTTGTTGAAATTTCATTCCATTATTTAGCCTTTTGACCGAAATACTGCCACTAAAGAAGTTCTAGCCAAAAACCTCGCTGCTGGATATGCAATTTTTGGTGGTGGATTGACTGTTGGATTTAGTAATTTAGTTTGTGGATTGGCTGTTGGTATGTGTTTTTTAATTTAATTTTCAAACGAATTTTTTTAAAGGAATTGTTGGTTCTGGTGCTGCACTTGCAGATGCAGCAAATCCAGCATTATTTGTTAAAATTTTGATAATTGAAATTTTTGCTAGTGCTATTGGACTTTTTGGTATGATAATTGGAATTGTACAGGTTAGAAAATAATATTTGTTATTAAAAACAATTTTTAGGGGGAGGGGGGGGGGGGATTTTTCCATTTTTTTCAAATAAAAAATAAAAACTGAAAACATTTTGGCGAGGAGTTCATAATTTTCCTTTTTCCCACAGAACTAAATTTTTGACTTTTTAGAAACTATAAATTTTTAGAATTATTCTCCTTTTAGAATATTCCCTTTAGAATAAAATTCCGTTTTTGTTACCTATATTTAAATTTAATGTTGAAAATTTTTATTTAGACAAACAAATTCACACTTGGAATGACTTAAAAATGATTTGTTTATCCAATCCAACATGTACTACTGCTGAATTATTTCCAGAAAAGAGGTTTTAAACGTATAGTCTTTTCCATTTTTTAAATACATTTTACTAGATTTTTTCTTGTTTTGATTCTTTTACCTTCTCATTTGTGTAAAAACGAAATTTTTTAGAGAAAATATATCAACTTGATAGGGAGATTTCTGAGATTTCGATCACTTAATTCTTGTAAGATTAGCGGTTTCCTCCCAGCTAGCAAATAAAATAAGAATTAAAATGATCAGTTGGTGGGAAGGGTGAGCGGTTAATCTTTTGATACTCCATGAAATGGGTTCAGCCGCTTTACTATTTCTCCCTTTTATATTTTCTTAAATCAGCATTATTATTTAAGTCGGCAAATCTCTTGTTTAAATGACCCACTAAGTCATAGCTTAAATCTTTTTTTGATGGTTGTGCTTTGCTTTTTATTAATAAATATATAATTTACCAAAAATACTTTTTTTAATAACAGATTAAATAATAATAATCCGAGAAAGTCGTCTCTTCCTTTCTGGACATGGACAATAACTTCCATCAGAGCCAGGCTCTCCGTCTGCTCCTATAAACCCGGGAGGTGCTATAATGTTTAAAAAATTATTTTTTGTATCTAAATTGAACACTCACCAAAAAGGCCAGGAGCGCCAACTTTACCTTTTTCACCTTCTGGACCAGGAGGTCCTTCTCGACCTTGTTTTCCAATAACTCCAGGCTCTCCAATTATCCCTCGAGAGCCTTGTTTGCCAGGCTTCCCTTGAAGGCCTGGTTCACCTTTTTCACCGATAATACCTTCCTTTCCTGGTATTCCTTGTTCTCCTACCATTCCTGTTCTTCCTACTTTTCCTGCTGGTCCTTCTTCTCCAAGTAGACCTGGTTTTCCTTTATTTCCAGGTAATCCTTTAGTGCCTCGCTCGCCTGTTGGACCCTGTTTTATAGGAAATTATTTTTTAAAGAATTATCTTCACTAACTGGTAATTCAATATTCCCAGGTTTTCCTGGCGCTCCTTTCCTTCCTCCCGGACATTCTCTGCACATTTGATTTTCATTTTTAGAGAGAGGTTCAGGAGCCTTTCCTTGTATTCCTGGCTCTCCCGGAGCACCATTATGGCCATCAGTACCCGGTTCACCTACAATTTAATCCCTGTTATCGTTTATCTCAAAATTGAGATATAACCTGGTAACCCTGGAGGTCCTTCCAGACATTGCTCCGCATTCTGCGTGCATTGACAGACCCCTTCCGGTGGGAGAGGAAAGTCATTTATAAGTGCCCGATCGCCTTCAGACTGTCTCTTTGCTTTCTGTATTTTATCTTTTTTTCGATATGTAGAAAGTTCCAAGAAATATTCACTTTCTATTTCCCTCCATATAATCATTTCTTCATTTAAATACAAAACTATTTGAGTTGTTTTATTAGAAATATGCCAATAGATCCTAATAATTATGCATTACTTAATCAAAAATTATAATTTTTCTAACCAGAAAGTTATACAGAAGATACTTATTGTTGAAATTATTGCCAAACAAATACTTTGTTGCATTTAAAATTTATTAAATTAAATCCAAAATTGAGTTTTTATTTTTAACAAAAATTTAAAATACAAAAGTAAAAATTAAAGATTTAAAAAAATGTCTTTTAAAATGAATGTTTTTTACTTTAAAAAATGCGGTCAATCCTTTATTTTTTAAAATTACCCACAAAAGTAATCTCAAATAATTTCCTTACCAAACCGATTACTTGTGAATAAAACAAGCCAGTTCTAAAAAGTGTGTGGTCACAAAAAAAAAGAAAGAACTGGCCACCCGTAAAAAATAATTTACAATAAATAAAAGTGTGTGGATGTTGTAAAAACAATTAAAAAGTGGCAAAATGAGTTGAAAATTATTTTGATGGGAATTACTTTGATATTGGGTTTTTAATTATTTATTTTATGTCACTTCTCGAAGTTATTAATTTGCCAGCAAAAATTCTTTTTTTTATTTTTATTAGATTCGTTGCATTGTAAAATCTTCTGGTGATTCTTCTGATCCTTCTAGCCAGACAATATCTCCAGTTAAGTGTTTCTAAAATAAATATTTTTTGTCAAAAATTGTATCATTCTAATGAGGAATTCAAACACCCCTGCAAACTCCCAAAATTCTTCAGAATATTTTTAAAAATCCCCCAACAGTTTTAAAAAATACTTTGTTGTTGTCACTAATTATATTATAGTAAAAACACGTTCTGTCTTTGTCATTATTATATCCAGGCACTAATAAATCAAAAAATGTTGCCCCATCATCCAAAGCTTCAATTGTATGTAAATTAGCCATATTTGGTTCTAAAATAGCCATCTTTAATGATGAAGATTTTTCTGTTGGTGGAGATAAAATTACTTGGCCTTTAAAAAGAAAGAAATTAACTTTAAACGTTTTGTGAAAGTTATGGAAGAAAAATGGAATTTGAAGAAATTTGTTTTTAAATTTTTTAGAAATTCAAACTAAGCGGGATGTGTAAATTTTGATTTGTAAGAGAATGTTTTAAAAAATAAGAGGATGATTAAAAAATTGAAGAAAAGAGCTTCGAATAATTTTTTAAAAATATTTGATTAATTAAGTCTCTCATTAAGAACAATCTAAAATTTACCTTCATATCTTGCTGGACGTAAAATATATCCAGGTTTTGCATTAAAATTCGGATTATTCTTTCTTTGCTGTGAAAATTGTTTATTTTCTTCATTTGCATCTAACCAAGAATATGAAGATACTTTAACTTTTCCACGCAAAGGACGTATAAATCCAAACATTTTTGGATGGTCGTGAAGTGGAATATAACAACCAGAAAAACGAAAACCAAAAATTGACATTTCAAAAAGATCAGCTCTTTCAAGAACAGGAGAACAAAAAGTACTTGCCCACATAGTTCTTGGATCAACAGCTTTGTGTTGTAAAAATTGAGAATCAAAAGCAGATGCAAGTTCACGTAATTTGTTAATAATTGCTGCTGGCTCTGAAAAATAATTTTTTTTAATTAAAATTAGTTCTTGGTTATTAAAATCCGAAAATAAATTTAAAAAACTTCAGATTTGAAATGAGAGGATAAAATTCAAAAATTAAATTTTAAATAAAAAAACCTTTTCCATGATCAGCAGTTCCATTAACCAATTCTGTCCCACAACATTTTGAATGTCCAATTTTTCTTTCTTCAGCTTCAACTTTAGAACATTCCAATAATCGTCTACAAAGGGCTGCCAAATCCCCCAAAATTTTATTTCTTCTAGCATTAATCATTTCTTTTTCAGTAATCAAAGGGAAAGAAGATGATTTTTGATTATCCATAAAAATATTCCAAAAAAAATAAAAAATTTAAATTATTAGAACTTGAAAAGTAAAAAAGAAAAAGGTTTTTTATCTTCCTTTTTTTCTAAATAATTTTAAAAGAAGAATAAATATATTCTTTTATTTTATTAAAAAAAGTAAAAGTAAAAGGCACACAAAAATAGATAGGAGATCAAAGAATGATTTAAAACAAATAAATTATTAAAAGCTAATACAATTTGCGGACTAACATTTACTGACGAATTTATTGGGGGGAAATTTAAAGGAAAAAATATAAAAATTGGAGAAAGTTACAAGAAAAATTTCCAATTAAATTAAAAAAAAGAAAATTCTAACAAATTTTTAGCCAAACTTAATTACAAAATAAATATTAATTAAAATCCGTAAAAGTTAAATCCGCAAAAATAAATAACAAAAAAAAGTTAATACATACAAATATTCCTTTAAAAATATATTAATTCCTTGTTGGCCACATAAAGCAAATAAAATATAAAAATAAATAAAATATAAAACAATTTCGTACTTTGAATTTTGTGTGCTCCGTGCAATAAAATAAAAATGATGATGATGATCGATTCATGAGACACTGTATATACAAACAAAAAAATATATATAATTTGTAATGTTCTAGTAATGACATTTCTTCTCCAATAAAATAAAAGAAGTAATTAATTAATAATTAATTTTGCATGTCCCAATTAATTAATTTTCTCTAAAAAATATTAGAAAAGAATTTAAATATTTAAAATAATAATTTTATGATTAATTACACAATTCTCTATTTCAATCATTAAGTGGAACATATTCAGACAAACGTCGAAAAAAGAAAGAGAAAAATGACCAAAAATTTTTGTTTAAAAAATTGTTGCCCAAAAATTTTTTAAAAATATTTTTTTTATTTAAAAATAGTCAACAATTTTTTGTAATTTAAAAAAAGAAACAAACCAAAAATTATTTTTTCCAACAAAAAACTACTCCAATTTGTATTTAAACAATCATTTGAATTTTTCATTAATTTAATACACCAATTTAAAATATTAAAATTATTTAAAGTTAATTGTTGAATTAAAGTAATTGTTGGTGTTGAATTAATTGTGGAAAGAGAAGGAAATATTGGAAAATAAATTTTTGAAATTTTTGTAGAATTAATAAAAAGAGATGCTGACCAAATACCTTTTTTTAAATATAAAAAATTTCTAAAAAAACTTTTTTGTATGGGGGCCAGTCATAACCCCTTCCCCTCCTCGAAAAACATCCGAGTTACGGCCCTGTACGAATATATTGTGATATTTCAATGTCCTATTGAAGGAAAGTTTTTATGTTTTAAAACCAACGTAAAATTCCCAATCTCAATATGTCTCCCTCCTTCCCTTCGGGATACCCTTCACTTCCCCTTTTTCCCAAATATTTTAAAAATTTACCAGAATTAACATTTGGATTTTCATTCAAAATATTTTTAAATTTAATATCCACAAATTGAATACCATTCAAAGAATCATAACTTTTAATTTTTTCATTAAATAAAAGTTCATTATTAGGTCCATTCAAAATTAAATTAACATTTGGACTTGTCCAATTATTATTTTCTTTATTTAAAATTAAATTCCATTTCCATTTTAAAGTAAATAAATCACTTAAATTCTTTAAAAAAATTAATTAAAATTAAAAAATAAATTAACTAACCAAATCAACAATTGGTGGATGAATTCGAAAAATTTCTTCTTTAACATCAAAACCAATTCCAAATTCAATTCCATCAATTAATTCAAATATTCCTTCTTCAGTAATTATTTGAGAATCTTTTTTGTTTTGTTGATTAGTAATTTTTTCAATTAAAAACTAAAAAAATAATCGAAAAAAATATTTTTTAACAAAATTGCTTTGATAAATAGTTTAAAAAAAGGAAAAAATCCTTTGGAAGAATAACAAATCATTTAATTTAAATTATATTACTTAAATTAGGTTGGAACATGAATAATGAGCCCCCCTTATTGTTAGTTAAATGGATTAATTATTAAAATTCAACAGTGTTATAAAAATTCAAGTTATTTTTCTTTTTGATCCTAAGAGAGTATTTTCTGGCAAAGAATCAGAATCGTGGGAATGATATTTCAAGAGTTGGAGGTAAAATACAAAAATTTGTATTCCTGCAACTAGACAACTTATAGGTGATTGTTCTCTCTCGAGAGGGCTCTTTATTAATAATTTAAATTACCTCAAATACTTCAAATCCTCCTCCCCCTCCTTCTTCACATTTCATTTCAATTTGAAAAATATTTTGAAATTTTGCAGTTGAATTGACACGAAATATAAAAATATTTAAAAGACGATTAAATAAACAATTATTTTTATTTATTTTTTTAATAAATAATTTTGAAATTAAATTGATTAATTCGATTTTTGAAGCTAAAATAATAATATTTATTTAATTAAAAAATAATTTTTACAAAAAGGAGAATCATTTGAAGTTTCATAATTAAATATATTTAACCAAAATGATTGAGTAAAATTAAAATATTGTTGTTTTTCTCTAAATCGAAGTACTTGTTTTTGTAAAAAATTAATTGGTTCTACATCAATAAAAGAATCAAATTTTCGTCCAAAAAATAAATTCTTTTCCTGACATCTTTTTTGATTTAAAAATTAAAAAAAATTAAAAAAGAAAACCTTTTTAAATTAATTTTCTTTTCAACATCAATATTTTTAACAGCTAAAGGTGAACAACCACACCAATCAACTATTGGCTTAAATGCTGAACAACGACACCCTTGCTTTCTTTCCCAATTAGTAAAACGCAAATTTTGGTTAAATATTTGATTACAAAAATTTTTTGAATTAATTGAAAGCTAAAAATTAAATAAAATTACAAAAAAATTTTTTAATATTTTCTCTAAAATATCCATTAAATATAAATTCCAAACTGTGTGGAAAAAACTTTCCAACGGCAACAGAATTGTCGTAAATAATAAACGAAGATTTGAAGGCAAATCTTCATTAGAAACAGAATATTCTGCCAAATCTCTGTGTATAATTAACCAATCAGAACCTCCATCCAAACGAAGATTTAAAGGAAAATCATTTCTTTTAGCAACTCTCCACATCCTTTTTTCACATTCCAAAAAATGAAAATTAAATCCTTGTTTGTTTAAAAAACTTGCTGTATTGTAACCGTGACTGCTCAAAAATGATTTGTTAGAAGAACTTGAAAAAATGAAAAGAAAATTTAATAAGAAAAAGAATTAACCAAACAATTATCACCCCTCCCCCAAGGGCGTAGCCAGAGAGTCGATTTCGGGGGGGGGGGGGGCTATAGCTCCAGAAGCCCCCCTCTGGCTACGCCCTTGCCCCGCTCCATATATCAAAAACAACACCCTCCCTTCCATTTCTAACTCAAAAAATATTTTTTATTTATTTACTTTTCCAATTGTTTTTCCAATTCTTCCAAAGAAAGTAAAGGCATATCCTTTTCACTTAAATTTATAATATAATCCCATTCAATTTCCAATTCAAAAATTGACTGATTAATTACAAAAAGAAATAATTCCAATAAACTAGTTCCTCCCCAAATTGTTGCAAATCTTTTCTTCAAAACTTTAAAATTAAAAAAACCTTTAATTTCAAACTCTTTTTGGATTTTTAACATTTCTGGGGAAAATTTAAACTTTAAAAGAATTAAAAAAAAGAAAGAACCTGAATATAAAAATTGTTGTCTACTATCTACATGAACAAAATAAAAATGTTTTTGGCTATAAATCATTCCAAGAAGACGTCGAATTTGGAGATAATCACGTCCATTTAATTGCAAAAGAAAAAGTATTTTAATTTTATTTGAGGAAGATTTGCCGTTATAGGGAATAAATTTTGGAAGAATTTTTGTTTGTTTATCTTAAACAAAAAATAATAATTAAAAACCTCCCAAAAAACCTTTAATTCCCGTTTTATAAACCAATAAAGTTCCATTTCCACCACAAAATTCATTTTCCTTTCCCGGACAGACATTTAAATTACACAAATTTTCATTCACAAAATTTTCATTTTTTTCAATTAAATAATTAAAACAATAACAATTAACACCAAATCCAACACCTAAAAATTTTATTCAAATTTTAAAAAATAAAAGAAAAAACCTGCAAAAGAAAATCCAGAATTTAAACATTTTTGAATACAAAATTCTGGGGAATTTTGTAAAGAAAAATTAAAAGAATTTTTAATTAATTTATTTATTGAAGACAAATAAAAACATCCAATTTTTGTATTTTGTTGTCTCAAATCTTTTTAAAAATATATTAAAATTAAAAAAACACAAACAAACCAAAATATTCCTTACAATTATTTTCAATTTTTTCAATTTTCCAATAATCATTAATTTCACATAATTTTGATTTAATAAATTGTTTACAAAAATTTGTATTTATTCTTGAAAGAGCTGAAATAGCCAAATTATTTTTTAATAAAAAACAATTAATTTCTTCTTTTTCTTCATAATTCTTAAATTCCTGTAAATTTAATTTTAAACTTTTTTATTTAAATTAAAAAAATACTTTAGTTAATTGAAAATCAAAAATAAACAATAAAATATTTAATAAAATAATTAAAAATAAAATTAAGAATAAAAGATTTTGTTTAATAATAATCATTTTAAATTGTACGTAAAGAAAATAGAAAAAGAGGAAACTTACTAAAATGTCTTTTTTTCTTTTTCTCTTCCCTAAAAATAAATATTTTAACAAGAAAGCAAAAAATAAGTAATTATTAAAAATTTCCATTAAAAATTAATTTTTTAAAAACAAAAATTATTTATTTAATCCTGTTTATCAAAAAACTTCAAAACTTCAATACACATAAATACAACACAAAGAAAACATAATTGTTGACAAAAAATTCGAGGAAAATTTAAAAATAAATATTTAATACCTTCAATTCCTTCACAAATAAATTCTAAAATAAAATTCAAAATATTTTCCTCACTCTCCACAAAATCTTCTCCTCTTCCTGTCAATAAAGAACTGCTAATACTTCCAGCAATACTTGTAAGACTTTCAGGGTAGGGATTCACAAAAACTTCAGAATTTGTGTTTATTGGTGTGTTGAAATTTGGAATATTTTGTCGATAATTTTCAAGAATATCTTTAAATTAAAATAAATTCTAATTAATCTAAAAGAAAATATACCTTTTAAAACATAATTAGTTTTTAATCCACTACTGGAAAAATAAGTCAATTCAAAACATAATACACATTTAACATTAAATACCAATTTTGAGTTAAATCCTGAAATTAATTAAAGATTTTTTTATTTTTTTAAAGTTTAGTTTCTAATAAAAATTGAAAAGGATGTAGTGTAAACTGCCCCCTTTCGTACCAGACCCAAATTATCTTCCAACTACTAATTTTCACTCACTTTTTAGTTGTTTTTTTTCTAACTCGATGTTTGTCCGGCGGTACGACAATTGCGGATATAAAATTTTTAAAAAGTTTAAGATTTTTTAAGTTTTTAATCCGCAATTGTCGTAACACCGTTTGTCACTTTTTCTTTAAGTATGTTTTTTTGTATTTTAAATTTAAATGTTTTCGTATCAAGTTTATATCATTTATTAGGTAAAAACTGGGAAACCGATCATCAAAGTTAATAAAATAAAAATTCAATAATTAATATAAAAGTTGATGGAATTTTTTAAATTGTAAGTTTAAAAAAGTTTTAATGTCTAAAAATCGAAAAAATGAAAGGCAAAAAACTATAAAATATTTAAAAATATTTATTTAAACCAACCAGAATTATTAAATAAAGTTGTTTGTTTTAAGCTTTCAAGGCATTCTGTACAGAAAGTGTGTCCACAACAAAGTTGTTTTGGCTCGGAAAAAAATTCTCTACAAATTGGACATTTAAGAGAATAAATAAAATTTGTTAAAGACATTGTAAATAAATAAATAAATATACAACTAAAAAAAAATAAAAAGAAAATTTAAAAATAATTTTAGGAAAAAAAAAGAATTAATTTAAATTACGATTATTCACAAAAACTACATTTTTCTTTAATTTACTCTCATTAATCCACACTTTTATAACAAATATATACATTATGCCAAACAAATAAAATTTGATCAAAACATTGATTTAAATATTTATTTCAGTCGTAAGGTTGGTAGTTCCTAGGAAATCTTTGGATATCCAAAACTGATAACCGACCCAATAATTTCCAGATACCCAGAATTTTCTTGATTCCAAATACCCCCGCTAAAATTAACTCAAATATATTTTAATAGTTTTTTTAATTATTCTAAAATTTATCGAGAATCAAAAAATAATTGTTTTTAAATGTACACACAATGAGGTTTTTATAAACAAAATGTTTAAATAAATATAATTTTAAATAGATTTTCTGTGTTTTGATGATTGGTTAGTATGTCTTTTCATATGCAACTAAAAAAATAAAAATAAATTATTTAAAATTTTTATTTTTTTACCTGTAAATGGTCTGAACGTGCAAAACATCGACTAAAAAATAATTAATTTTTATTTAAAAAGAAAAATAAACATACACACAAAATGAACATTTAAACGGTTTAGCCCCTGTATGTTTACGTAAATGACGAGTTAATTCATCACTTCTAGCAAATTGCCATTGACAATTAGGGAATATACAAATATAGGGTTTTTCTCCTAAAAAATAATTTTTAAAAAATTTTTCTCAAATAAAAAAAATATTTGTTTAAATAAGTACTTTTAGTTAATTAATTAGGTATTTACTTGTAAATTAATTAAAAAAGAATTGCCGAAAAAGAGATTTGTTGGGGGAGGGGGATTTTCCTTAAATAAATATATCTAAAAATACTTAATTTGTAATAACCGAGAGAATTACCCAAATATATTTATTTAAACTATATTCAGTTGCTCTGCCCCCCCCCTCTCCTTAAAACAAAAGGAGGAGCGGCCCCTTTGGTCAAGATTTAAAAAAAAGGCGGAAGTTAAATGAGAATACTTTATTTGTGTCAAAAGTCTCTACTACTACAAAATTATACTTGTACTTAAATGACAGGTAAAAAGAGAAAAGTATCAAAAATATGCGCGTAAAAGGAAGGAAAAAAGTTTTTAAAGTATTTTTATTTTCTCTTTGATCATTAAAAACAATTTCTCTCTCTAAAAATCCCGCATTTTGAAATGACCGAGAAAGAAAAAATCTTCATCAGAAAATTGCCACTGTAAATATTTAATAGTGGGAAAAAGGAGAGATTAAGTTGTAAAGAAAAGAAAATGTAAAAGTATATGTGCGCGTAAGAGAAAGAAAAATATCAAAAGTCTCTACTAGAGTAAGTCGAGTACCGAGTAATTGGGAAAAAACCGAGCTCGAGTAATCCGAGTTTGAAAAACCCGAGTTCGAGCTCGAGCTCAACTTTTTAGGTCGAGTTCGAGTTCGAGTAGTCGAGTAATCGAGTATTTTTTATAAAACAGTATTTTTAAATAATTTCGATAAAAACAATACTTTTACTAAAGGATATTCATCCTCAGTGCCGTGTTTTGAGCATTTGTTGGCAGTATTGCGTTAGATCTTCATCCAAATCCCATTTATTTTCTTAATCCGACTATATCCCTCTTAATCCGCAGAAATTCCATGATATGCACACGATCAATGTTGAATCCGGGCTCCGGGTTGAACATCAATGGATAATATTATTTCGGGGATTCGTGTAGATTGAGGATATCGAATGATAACAGAGGAACGAGATGGATATCAAGGGATTAAGCGGGATTTAGGCCGATTATAATGAGATTTGGGTGTATTAGAAGCAAAATCTTGGAAATTCGGGAGATTAATTGGGATATCGTCGGATTAGATAGATTGTCAAAAGGTGATCATGAGATACGTTGCTCTATCCCTCTCTTTTCGCGCCGTTGGCTTAAATTTTGAGAATTTCTGAAGGTCAAGTAGGAACACCAATTTTCAGAAGGCCAGATACCTCGCTATTCTTTTAGATCCCTTGAAATATCCGGATATCACTAAAATCCACTTAGCTTGATGAATCCTCCGATATACACAAATCTTCCTTTTTTAGCGCCGCAGCCAAAAATTTCGAGAATTTTGGAAGGCCAGAGAGCAAAATTTCTTCTTTTTTTTAGCGCCGCAGGCGAAAATTTTAAGAAATTTGGAAGACCAACCACTAGATTTCTTCTTTTTTCAGCGCCGCAGGCGAAAATTTTGAGAATTTTGGAAGATCCTTGAGCTAAAAATCTTCCTTTTTGCGCCACAGATAGGGTCTTAAAAATACTCGGTTTTAACCGAGTCTGTCGAGTAGGAAGTTTCCGAGCTCGAGTAATCCGAGTATTATAATCCCGAGTTCCGAGTCGAGTAATTACGCAAAAAACCCGAGCGGTCGAGTCGAGTAACTCGGGCTCGCTCGAACTCGACTTACTCTAGTCTCTACTACAAAAATCAGAAGTAAAAATTAAATATTTATTTTATTTTTAATTTTTAATTTTATTTTAATTTTTACCAGTATGCAGCCGTTGATGTGCTTTTAAATGGCTTGATTTTGTATATACTTTTGTGCAATCTTTAAATAAATAAAAGATTAAGAAGGAAAAAGTTTTTATTTTTATTAGTTAATTGCGCAATAATATTTAAATAAATTATTTTGGAAAAATATTTAGTTGGAAAGAGATTCATGGGAAAGAAAAAGGATTAAAAAAAAAGAAAAGATTTACATACTTAAATAAATCCAAAAATATATCTTCCTTTCTTAAAACTTAATTTTTTGTTAAATTTATTGCCCATTAATTTACCTATTTAATTTCAATTAAATTTATTGCAAAAAACGATAATATTTAATGTATTTAAATGTTTTTTTGAAAAGAAATTTCTATAAAAAATGCTAACAACAACAACTATATTTTTCCAAAACAAGAGTTTAATTCACCCATTGCTTACGAAAGAGGTACTGTAAAAAGAGAAAACGAAAACTAAGTAGATTTTAAAATCCTTTTTTGTTTGTTTATTAATAGAAAATAAACTTTTAAGTTGAAACTTTCAAATTTTTGGATCTAGAGGCTAAAACTCTCATTTTTCAAAATCCAAGTCAATGAAGAGTTTTGATTCGAATTCTTTTTTAGTCAAAAAACTTTTTGAAAGATTGACTTTTGAGGAAATTCTTTTTGGAATTTTTATTTAATTTTAAATTAAAAATAAAATTTTATTTTACTTGGAAAGCAGCATTTATGTACTCGTTTATGATTTAATTCTTGACGGCTTTTTCGAGGCATTCGACGTGTTGATTTTGGATTGATTGAACTTGGCGGGCAAAATACTTTTGCACTAATTTCTGGAGGTAATAAAGCTGCTAATGTTGAAGATAAAGAATTGGTTGAGGAAGAGGAAGATAAAATGGGGAAGAGGAAGAAGAAGAAGGATTTTGTATTTGTTTATTATTTCGTTTAGATTTAACAAAATTATTAACCACAGAAGAGGATGAAGCAGGAGAAGAATTGAAGGAAGTTGAAGATGAAGAAGAAAACTCCTTAAAAAGAATTTTTGATTAAAAAAATTCTTTTAAAAGAATTTTTACTTTTTCAGAAGACAAAGGAGGAGGAGAATTTGTTGAAAAAATATTTGAGGGAGGAGGGAAGCAGGATTGAAAGGAAGGAGGAACAATTAAATTTTCTTCTTCAATAAATTCTCTAAAATTTAAATTATTTAATTCAATAAATTTCCAAATTTATTTACTTTTTTAAAGAAATTAAATCCAATTGAGGGTTGTGGAAAACTATATTTTGTTCAAGATTTGGATTTTGAAGTAAATTATTGCCAAATTGTTGGTGTTGGGGGTGTTGTTGAATTCCTTCATTTTGTTTTGTTTGTCCAAAATCAAAATTAAAAGAAGTTTGTTGTTGTTGGGTAAATAAAAGTTGAGGATATTGGGAGGAATTATTATTAGATATTATTTGTTGTTGTTGTTGAGTATTCTAATGAAAAATAAATTGTAAATTATTAACCTTTCAATCTTAACTTTAAATTACTACTTTTTCGTAGGTAATTTTCATTATCCCAATTTTGCCTATCACGAACCCAAAAGGAATAAAGTAAATTAAAAAGTTTTAATGATTTTTTTATCGCAAATTTTCCTCATAAAAAATGTGGAAAAGAATTAAGTTGAAAAGCTTCCTGAAGTGGGAGAAGGAAGGGGAAGGAAAGGAGATGGAGGAAGGAAGAGGTGTGAAAACCTACTCTTCCTTATAAAATATTAAAAAACTACTTGATAATCAATTCCATAAAGATTTGTTGTTGTTTGACATTCAATTATTGTTGGAGGACATAAATTTGTAAATATTTCTTTGGAGGAGGAGGGGGGAGTTGAAGTTGGGGATTTTGATGGAGAAATATTGTTGTAATATTGTTGGTGTTGATATGGCATTGAAATTGTTGTTGTTAAATTATTATTTTGTTGAAAAGAAGAAAATGTTGAATTAAAATCTTTTTAAAAAATAAATTAAATTTAAAAAATATTTTTTTATTTTAAATATTAAATCGTTATCATTTTTTCTTTTAAAATATAATTTCAATGCCTTTTTTATAACACCTTTTTCCTTACAAATTTGTAGATAAAAACGAATAAAAAAATAATTTTTATTTTCGCGGGACAGCTTTTTTTGTTTGTTTAATGACTGGCATTGCCCCAATAAAAATATATAAATTAAAAAAGAAAATTATTTATTTTTAATTCCTTTCCCGACCTTTTAAAAATAATTTTTTAATGTGAATCATCTTTAAAAATATATTAAAAAGGAGATATTTAAAAAAGAAATTTTTTTGGATTAAATTTAAAAAATAATAATTTTTAGATGGTTAATTGGAAGAACTTGAAAGGGAGGGGAGGGGAGAGGGGAGGGTTTGTAGGAGTATTTGGATTGAATTTAAATATATTCTTGACTAGTTTTTTGATTATTTTTTAACATTATTTAAAAACTTACAAAAAGAAGATTTTTCTAAAATAAATTCTTCTCCCCCTTCTTTTTCTTCCTTTTGATATTCAAAAACGTCGTTAAAGTAAAAAATAGAAGGCCAAAAATATCCAAATAATAAAGACTGGTCATTAAAACAGAATTGTTGTTGGTGTTGTGGGTGTTCATCTAATTTTTGATAATAATTGTTGTAATATTGGTGCCATTCACGTAAATTGTTTTGTTGAAAATTAGAAGAATTATTAAATGATGAATTTGTTGTTGTTGTTAATTGTTGTTGTTGTTCTATCATATTTTTAGCTGTTAAAAATAAAATAAAAATTGAAGTACTTTGAATTATCCTGCAGTATTTTATTTTTTCTTCTCCTTTCTTTAAAAAGTACAAATGGTTAAAAGTAACATGCTGTTAAAGGATCATAGCGATCTATGGCGACACGGACCAGGATCTGTTTGTTAGAAATTATAGCCGATATTTTTCACGTGTATCAGAGCTTTGAGCGAATAGAGCTCTCATTTCCATTAAAATTAACTTATTGAAAATAGAATTGTCACACACAAACAACGTTGACGTAGGGGTAGTGCGAAACTTGCGGACCGACTTTTGCGGACAAGGGGGTTATGTTTTTGTTTTTCTATCGTAACTTTGTCCAAGCTTGTACAATCACGATGATTTTGATGTCATTCGACTCAGCTCGTCGAGCTCTTTCGAATGAGCTATGTTTCGAAAAATTCGTCGGGTCTGCAAGTTTCGGTCCGCAAAAGTCGGTCCGCAAGTTTCGGCCTGCCGACGTAGGTCTAATTTCTGAAACTGGTGATTCAGGACATAGACTCACTTCTATCTATGTGTACTTCTTGGAGGAAGGAAAAGGAAAGGAGAATAAAAATAAAATAGTGCAGGATAATGCGATGGTACCAAAATTGGTAGAAAAATAATAAAAGGGATTTTTCAATTGTTTTATTAAAAAAATTAAAAAATAAAATAAAAAGTAATGAAAGAATATATAAAATTTTGAAGAAAAAATGCAAGTAAAAGTATTTAATAATAATTTTTAAACATTCCCTCCCCCCGCCCACTCATTTATTTATTTTTCCTTTATAAACAATAAAAAATGTTTTGGTTTGTAGAGGAAGAATGGGAAGAGGGAAGGGGGGCGGTCGAAAGAACGGTATTTTATGTGAATGGAAGAAAATAATGCGCGAAAGTAATGAAAAGTTATTTATAAATTAAGAAAGAAACTTCGAGATAAAAAGAACAAAATTAAATGAAAACAGAAATTAATAAAAAATAATATCTTTTACAAAAGAATTTAAATTTAAAAAAAATCGAGATAAAAAACAAAAAGACAAAAAAATTTATTAACAATTTATCGTTATTTTTGTTAATTATTTAAAAATATTAACCAAACACGCGCACCTAAATATTAAATTACCCAAAAAATAAATAAAAATATTCTCCTTATTTTTTTAAATTAACGTTTATACTAAATAAAGAATTAAGAAAAGAAAAAGAATAAATAAGCTTTGGCTGGATCAATTTCTTGTTCAAATAAAACAATTATTATTATTGTTGTTTATAGAAAAAAATATTTTTTAAGGAGAAAAAGCAGTAAAAAAATATTTTTATGTATTTAATTGTGTTTAGGGTAAAATAAATAAATAAATATTTTTAGCAAATATACATATGTATAAAAGTTTTCCTTTTTTAACTTTAATAATAAAATTTTTTTTGACAAAATAAAAATAATTTGGAATATGTTTGGAAATTTAAATAATTTATTTTTTGGTGTAAAAAAAAATAAAAATATCTCCAAAGAAGCTCGCTCTTGCCTCAAATAATTTTAAAGAAAATTTATAGTAATTTTAGTAAGAAATCCCAAGCATTGATTCTGTGAAGAAAAATAAAATGAGAATAATAAAAATAAATTTGTGATATTCTGATTTGTCTTCACAAAAAAGGGGAAACTAAAATTAAAAGTGGCAAGAGAGAAAAGAATATTTAAATATTGTAAATAAATGAGATTTTAATCAGGCATGTTCACGGCGGTACTAATTTAGTTTCCCCCCCCCCCCCCCCAGTCAGTTTTTCGAAAATTATGTAAAAATGGTCAGTCTGAACAACAATTGTAGAACCCATCGAGCTTTGTCGAATGACACCAAAATCAACAAAATCCGACTTGATTGGACCGAAATACAGACCCCTAAACCACAGGGGCACAAAATCATAAAGACGAAAATCTAGACGAAAATCGAAAGATCGAAAAGAAAATCGAAAAGACGAAAATCAGACTGACCATTTTTACATATTTTTCGAAAAAACTGACTGGGGGGGGGGGAAACTAAATAAGTACCGTTCACGGCTACAAATTTCAATATCAGGATAAAAATTTTGGACGATATCTATATCTAACCGCGGCACTTCTTTACCATACCCGTCCGCGGATATCCTCGGATATATCCAATTATTCTCAAAACGGTTTGAATAAAAAATTTTACTTACAATGTTGGCAATCTATGTATGTATTGCTTTGGTCAAAAAATTTATAGCTTGACAATACCGGGGGCGCTGTAAAATTTTTTGCTTTGCAAGCGGAAAATATCTGAAGTAGGCAATCAACAACAGAGCTGTTTCGAAATTTCGATTTTCGTTTTTCGATTTTCGAGGTTTTTTTCCTTTCGATTTCCGATTTCCGAAATTTAGCAATATTTTCGATTTCCGATTTCGAAGATTTTAAAAAATATTTTCGATTTTCGATTTCGATATTTTTGGATTTATTTCGATTTCCGATTTTCGAAGATTTTTTTGTTTCGAAACACCTCTGATCAACAATAACATTTTCGACTTTTGGGTTATACTTATTGGTTCTGTGTGCTTTAATTTAATGCCGCAGCAAAAAATTGATAAATTTGGAAGGCCAAAAAGCCAGAATTCTTCATTTTTAGGTCTCAAGTTGTGCTTTTTTAGCCTTATTTTAGGTGCTAAAAACCTCCAACTATTATGAATACTAATAATTTTTTATAAAAAATATATTTTAAATAATTACATTTATTAATTTATTTAAATAGAAACATTTCTTATTAGCAAAAAAAAAATTTTTTTTTCATTTCAGATCTGTTCCAACATTAAAAGAAATAATGGCAAAAATGCTTGTTATAATTAATTTAATGTTCATAAATTTAATTTTAAATCTAAAATAAGGCTTTCCATTTTCTACCAAGTTTATTTAATTAAATAAATTTATTTTTATAAATTTAAAAAAACAAAAATTATTTTAATAAATTGTTTAAATTAGCTTAAATAAATATTTATTAAATTTGTTGCCAAAAATTATTTTTATTTAAATATTAAATTATAAAACAAAAATAAATAATAAAATCTAAAAAGTTTTTAATTAAAATAAAAATAATCTTTGAATTTAAAAAAAAAATTAAAATTAAAGAAAATAATTACAAAATTTTTTAATATTTTCTCTTTCTGTTCCCCTACAATCCAGGATTAACACCAAACAAACATACCACAAAAAATTTCTTCTACAAAAGTGGCAAAAGCTTTTTTTCTTCTTTTTCTTAAATTTTCTTATCAATTGGTCGTTGAATTAGTCACTGATTAAACATTTTTAATTTGTCTAAATGTGTCATACTTTCATAAAATAAAACACAAAAAAATAATTTTAAAAATTATTTTTCAAAATTATTACAACAAAACACACAATTTAGAATCCAATTAAATTTAATTATAAAGAACTTTGTGAAATGTCAAAAATTATTCTGCGAAAATATATACCGTATTTATTCTAATAAAATGGCCCCTCCATTAGAATGGCCCCTCCAATAGAATGGCCCCTTTTTGGGGGTAATGAAAAATAGAATGGCCACCTCCATTAGAATGGCCCTCTAATAGAATGGCCCTTTTAACTAATAAGTATATGCCTGAATACATTTCTTTATTTTCCTATTATGTATTAAATATTACTCTTTAGTAAGGATAATCATAATATTTTCGAGCAAATCTGGAGTCATAAAAGGGAGATTAAGAGGGATATTATGGGATTTGAGAGGATTAGGAGGGATATCAAGAAATTACAACGATTTAATGAAGATGCATGGGATTAAGAGAATTAATAGATATTTATGAATTTGACGATATAAGGAAGTTGGATATAAGGTTGTCGGATCCGGTTCGGATATTGGATCCGGATATCCGAAGATTTCCAACTATCCGACAACCTTAGTTGGATACATTTATTTTATCAGGGGACTTGCAGGGACATAGGATTTTGAGGAATAATGATGGATTGATTGAGATTCACATATATTCTCTCCCAATTCCTATATATTACGTCCAAATTCCGAGATCCCACGAACTTTCATGAGCAAACTATACCGGAAATTTTGATTGTCTGGCACCAAAGTAAATAAAAAGTTGCCTTTTTGCCCAGCAGACAAAAGATTTTTATGTTTTATAGTGTTACGAAAAGAAAGATTCACTAACCAAAGTCGAAAATATAGAATTTTACACGAAAAATCGATTAAATTTCGAAGTCAAAAAATATTCGATCGAACATTTGATTCATCCTATCTCTGATTTTTACCTATGAAAAATAGAATGGCCACCTCCATTAGAATGGCCCCTCCAATAGAATGGCCCCTTTTTGGGGGTATCGAAAAATAGAGTGGCGGCCACTCTATTAGAATAAATACGGTATGTATATATAAAATAGAAATGAAATATTAAAGCCGTTTAGAGAAAAAGAAATAACTTTTTTGAATTTTTAAATATTAAATTATATAAATCCTTAAAATGCAAAATTCTGAAAAAAACTTTTTTAAGCAGAATAGTAATTCAAAATAATATTTTCCAAAAACAGCTTTTTCTACCCATTATTAAATAATAAACTATTCTTTGATGTCAAATCAAGTCAATTTTCATCCCTTCATTTCCCCCAAACATTTAGCGACTATGGCTTCCTTTTCTTCCCTCTATTTCGCTTATCAAAAGGATTAATTATATACAAATGAATGATAAAGGTGATTGAAATGTGACAATAAGCAACTGAGAGAACGATTTCGATATTCTTAACTCAATAAATTCGGACTTCTAAATATATGGGAAGGAAGGAAAAAAGAGGCATAGTCGACAAAGGATCAAAGAAATGAAGGGAAGAAAACAATTAATATAAACAATATAATTACCCAAAAAATTTTCTTTTATTTAATTTGTACCCAATAATGGCTCATTTTCTCGTCTATGTTCCCTTGCACTTTCTTTGCTTAACCAAATCAGCTTTAAATCGTGAAGGAATCTTCTCATAAGGCATAAAACAGAGAGAATATTCTATTTAAAATTTTGAAGTAAATAAATTAATTAAAAAATATTTACCATTAAAACAAAAAGGTAGAAAACCCAATTCCAACCAAAATTATTTTGTATCAATGGAATAAATAATTGTCCAAAAGCTGAACCAGCCGAACCTGTCCCATCGATTAAACCAGTCACGGTAGACATTGCCTAATGTATTTTAAAATTAGCTTTTGACAAAACAAAAATTTACTTCAGCATTTCCAGCAAGAGAAGATTGAGAACCAAGATCAACAGATATTGTACTAACAATTAAATTATAAGGCCCGGAAATTGTAAAACCAAGCAAAGACATTCCAATAATATGAAAGAATGTGTTTGGACCTAGACTAGCATATAAGAAAAGTAATGGAACAGAACAGATTAACATAGAAACCAAAACAGGACTTCTATGTTTAAGTCGATCCTTAAAAAATAAATTATTTGATTCAAATGATTTAATTAATAAAAACTTTGAAAAAGGCAAATAGAAAATTTAATGTTTAAAAAAGGTGTGTCGAAAAGTCGTGTGGGTACTTTAATGAGAATAAATTTGTTTCTTTTCCTTTCTGCTTCATAAAGTCCGATTTATTCTGGTAAAGCTTGAAAAGTACCAACTATTGTACTAAATCTAGATATAGTGTTAAAAATGTTGACTTGCCTATCACATAAATTTCCAATTTTCCTTATTAATTTTGGCAAAATAAAGGATCTTCTTCCCTATAAAGATTCTCGAATAAAACGACAGACTTCCGAATGAAAAAAGAACCATAAACTTTTCTTCCATCCGATTTAAAACACTTATTGTTTACAGTTAAAAAATAAAAAAACAAACAGAAGCCATTCCACCAAGTATAGAACCAAAAATTCCTCCAATATCATACCAAATAGAAAGTTGATTTGCTTCTGCTTCATTCCATTGATATTTAAAAGTCAAATAAAACGGAAGCCAGAAAAAGAAGGCATAATTAACAAATTTAAGACAAGCATTACAAAGACAATACTTTAAAAAATATTTATTTTAAATAAACAAAATATAAACCGGAAGAACACTGGGAAGAAAAATTGCTTCGCACATTCTGATAGGTCTAGGTGTTGACGTTCTTGGACTAAAAAGGAAAAATGTTATGCGCATAAAAATTAAAAGAAATATAACTAACTAGAATTTATTATATTTATTTTTCTTTATAGTTCAAGCCAGACCCGTAGCCAGGGGGGGGAATTCCCCCCCCCCCCCCCCCCGAAATGGGAAAAAGGGAAAAATTTGGGGAAGGGCTGGGGCAAAAAAAAGTGAATTTTTTGACCTACGGCCTTCGAAATTTTCAGAATTTTCGGCTGCGGCGCTAAAAATGGAAAAAATCTGGCTTCTTGAGGTCCAAAATTCAAAAAATTTTTGCCTGCGGCGCTGAAAATCAAAATTTTGGCGCCTGCGGCGCCGAAAAAGTGAATTTTTTTGGCCTACAGCCTTCTAAAATTCTCAAAATTTTCGCCTGCGGCGCTGAAAATAAAAAATTTTGTCGCCTTCGGCGCCAAAAATTTGGAGCAAAAAATTTTTTCCCCCCTTGCCCCCCCCCCCCCGAAAAAAAATCCTGGCTACGGGCCTGGTTCAAGCAAATTAATAATAAAATAAAATACACCTAAATAGATGGTAAAACAAACCTCATAAGTTCAGCAGTTTCTTCATCAGATTCGACAGAATGTATTCCATTAGATATTACAGTCCTTCGCTCAGTTGGCATTTCAACAGTCAAAGGATTATGTACCAATTGAGGTTTTGGCTTAACAAAAACTAACATAACAATTGCTCCAATTAAAATAATTAACGAATTGAAGACAAATGTCGACTTAAAGAAAAAAAAGTTTTAAAAAGAATTTTATAAAAAACCTGATAACCCATTGGAAGGGTAAAAGAGGCAATAATTGCACCAACAATATTTCCAACTGGTTGGCAGGCTGACCAAAGTCCCATAACTGCTCCCCTATTTGTTTGGGGAAACCAGTTTGCCTATAAAATTTGAATTTAATTCTTAAATTTAAAATTATTTAACCATAATTGTAACTTCATTAGGCCAACCACAAGCTTGAACTATACCAAATAATGACCAAGTAAAAAGGTACCAAGGCAGTGAATACCAAGCAAGCCAATAAGGAAGTGAACCAAAAGCAGTTAACTGAAAAAATTGAATTTTTTTGTTTATGAGATATTTATACAAAAATTAAGAATAAACCGTCAATGCAGATCCAACCATCCCAAAAACAACAACACAAAGAGGATTCATTCGATCTCCTAGCCATCCCCAAAATACAAGCGAAATAGCATAGAAAAACATAAAGAGAGCATCAAGAGAACCAAGAAAATTCTGTGCGGAAGATAAATCATTAAAAAGTGGTTGATGATGAGTAATCGTTGAATTTGCAATCCAATCCTCAGAAATTGAAGCTTTAACACCACTTAAGGCTTTTCGAGAAGAATGATATAAAGCATAACTGAAATTATTATTTTATTATCAAAGTTAGATTTAAAAAAAAATAAAAACTAAATAAACCCAAAATTTACAAGAAAAGATAACTGCTATCAAATTAAATTTTAAGCCTGTTAAATTGAAGTAAAAACACCTACAAATTTTTAAATAACCAAACCTGGAAAAAGTCAAAACAAAAACAATTAAATGATCCTTCCGCACATAAATCATTAGGTTTTCTGAAAAATTATATGTGAAAGCTATTAATAAAATTTTAAATAAATGTAATGATTCAAAAATAGAGAAAATTGCTGGCAAATGCACAACAAATAAACGTGGATTTTATCTAAAAATGTTATTGATAAATTTGTTTAAAGAAAAACGATCAATTGTAAATACATATTTAGTAGATACTTAACGGTGATGGGACTTGCTCCGCATGTATAAAAAAGAGGGATTTGTAGAGATAAGACGGATTTGTATGTATCAGGCGACGTATAATTAATGAGGATATCGGTGACTTAAAGGGCATATCGAAGGATTAACAGATTCGGAAGGATTAAGGTGGATATCAGGACTCAACAGGGCGGACTCAACTATACTGCTTGATTACCGGGACACGCCCGAAATGTCGCGGGCCAAAATGTCGCGGCCGAAATGTCGCGACCGAAATGTCGCGGGCCAAAATGTCGCGAGGCCGAAATGTCGCCGGCCGAATTGTCGCCAAGCTTTTCTTCATATTTTCGCCTTTTCCTTGTTCGCCTTTTCGCTTCAATACCTGTTTTGGTGTTGCTACGGAGGGAAGGTCGGCATTCAAGGCTGAGAATCGGTAAAAAGGAATAGGATTAAGTTACGAGCCCAGAACCCAGCGACCGTAGACTCCCCGCGAGGCGCGTGCCGCAAAACTCCGCGCGAAGCGCGGAGTTTTGCACAAGCGCCTCGCCGACGCTCCATAGGTTTAAGTTGAAAACTATATCCTTGTTTTGTAATTATTTTACAGAATATTTAATCAAAAAGCTTGGCGACAATTCGGCCGGCGACATTTCGGCCTCGCGACATTTTGGCCCGCGACATTTCGGTCGCGACATTTCGGCCGCGACATTTTGGCCCGCGACATTTCGGGCGGGACACGCCCGACTTGCCGCGGGCCGACTTGTCGCGGCCGATTTGTCGCGACCGACTTGCCGCCGGCCGACTTGCCGCGAGGCCGACTTGTCGCCGGCCGACTTGCCGCCAAGCTTTTTAATTAACACCCCCTTCCACAAGGCCTCCGCGGAAAAAAGTTTTTGCCGCTGCGGAGGAAGCCGGGCATGTCGAGCGGAACGACGGCCGCCGCTTCGCTACGGTCGCCGCGAGCGAAGCGAGCACGACCGCAGCGAAGCACGGCCATCGTGTAGCGAAGACCATGCCCGGCCTACCCTCCGTAGCAGCACAAAAACAGTTTTTCCAGCGAAGATTCAGTTGGTCATAACTCTGTTTAGAATCATCCAATCGAGCTGATTTTGGTGTCATTGAGCTCAGCTCGACGAGCTCTTTCGAATGACATATAAATTGTCCAATTTTGAGACTGGTACGGAAACTGTAGTTAGGGGTTTTTTAATTTTGTAAAATTTTTTTGTAAAATTTTTGTTTTATAATTCAGCATGGTCCCATTTTATGGTCGTTGGGACCATTCTAATTGATTATAAATCAGAATATTTAATTAAAAAGCTTGGCGGCAAGTCGGCCGGCGACAAGTCGGCCTCGCGGCAAGTCGGCCGGCGGCAAGTCGGTCGCGACAAGTCGGCCGCGGCAAGTCGGCCCGCGGCAAGTCGGGCTGTACCCTTTCGGGCTGTACCCTTGATTACCGTAGTTTTAAATATTGTTGAAATGTCAATTTCGAAATACACAAAGTATTTTTCTGAAAAACGAAATTTTTTAATTCGGAGTTTCTTATTCATTTAATTATTTTTAAGTTAGTTCAAATTTCTGAGATAAGTGTCCAATTATATTTATATATTTTTCATTATAACACTTTTCAGCGACCTTATACTAACCCCTAATCTAGCTAACAAATATTGTTTTACCATAAAAATGTTGACTAACACAGAATATGCTCAAATGATGGAAAATTTGGTAATTTCGACAACAAGTTCACCACCTTCATTTCCGATTGACAATTTTTTGCCGACTTGTGGTTTGGACAGCGGAACTATTCGAGTTTTGGACTTTTCTAGTCCGAATCGTTTTTTGATGATTCGTGACGAAGAGATTATAAAACTTGCAAAGAATGGCATCAATACTAAGTTAATACAACATCAATTGCATCACCACGGTGAGCTACGACAACGTCTTTATGATTTGTTCACTGAACCTGCTAAGGGAAAGGAATATCTTTTGCGAATGGCTACTGACAATAATGGGAATTTCCTCATTCAAGTGAATTTTCGATAATTCTACAAATTTTACTTCAAATTTATAGGAACTTTTGGCAAGCGAAAACCGAACCTCAAGTCTGCTTATTCGTGGTCTTGAAGAGATTGCTTCGACTTTGGCATTAAATCGTTATGGTTGCCGAGTTCTACAAAAACTTGTTCAAACCTTGCCGCCACATTCTGTTGAAGATTTAATGAATGTTAGATTTGCTGGAATTGAATTTCAATTGATTACCGATCAAAACGGTGAGTTTGTTTTTTATTGCTTTAGACATACTATATGTCTTATCGGGTTAAGTCCCAAAAATTTTCTTATACTTTAAAAATTTAGGTAATCATATCGTTCAATATATCGTTAACAATCTACAACCACAAGTCTACCAAAAATTCATTGAATCTTTAAATAAGTCTGTTGGTCTTAAACAAGTTGTTGAGAACAAATATGGTTGTCGTGTGTTGCAATGCGCGCTAGAAAAGGTTATTCTGATTTGCCATCAAAACAATGGACAGCAACGGGATGCTACCACCAAGAGGTTTAATGATATGTTAATTTTCTTAGATAACTTCAATAATTTCTAAAAATGTTCATTAATTTTCGGTGAGGAGTTCGTAAGAATTGATTTAACGATAAGACGAATTTCAGTTAGAAACGTGTTTCTAGTTATCAGGAACAAATAGCTTTCGTATACTCAATGGAAAAATTGCTCTTAGGCTAATAGTTGGGAATTGATATAAGCTCATTCAAAAATTTCCACTTCCGATTTTACAGTATTTTGGGAAAATAATTCGTTTTTTTCGTTTTTAGTGCTGCTTATGAAATACTTCATTTAATGATTTCGACTGTTTTGCAACATGCTCGCTCATTGGCTGAGCAGGAATTTGGTAACTATATTGTGCAGGCTATTCTTAAAGATGACTTTCTGGCGAGACAGCGCTCTTATATAATTAAGCACCATTTTATGTAAAAATAATTTGATTAAGAATTCTTTAAAAAAAATTTAGGTCTAATATTTTGGAACTGTCACAAGGAAAGTACTCATCTCATGTTATTGAGGTAGCTATTTCACATGCAGATGAAAAGTCTCTTGAGGCTATATTTTTTGAAGTGTTTGGAAGCTATGACACTGACAAGTTTGATTATTTTTTAAAATTGATATATTTAAAATTTTTTAGACGCGGTCAAAATGCTCTTCATATTATGCTTTTCCATCAGGTACAAATATTTTAAATAAATTTTCAATTTTTATTTAGTATGGAAATTATGTCGTTCAACGAATGCTTGAAGTAGCGATTCAAGTACGATTGGGACAACGCCGTGGAAATCAGCAATGGTTTGACAAAATTGTGACTTATGCTTACAGTGTTGGTCGACAGCTTTCACGTTATTGTGAGTAATTGTGAAGAAAAATTCTTAAATTGGAAATAGTCTTCCCCCCTTTTATTAAATACCTTTAGGAGTATTCTTATTCCCTTTCTAAAAAAACGACACTATATTATCACAAGTCTTTTAATATATTTTTAAGCATCTGGCAAGAAGGTTCTTGAAACTATCAAAATGACTCTGGCACATTTGGCGCCTCCTCTTTTGCAAGTTCAAATGCCGCAACCATTACCTCAATACTAAATATAATTAATATAGAGAATATTTCTTTACCAATTTTCATTTTTTAAATTATAAATTCCTGCCTATTAACCTAAAAAGAAATACAATATACTATTTTTGATGTTATATATCCACACGGGGCAAAAAATATTTAGATTAATTTTTATATTAAAATTTTTTGCCCCATTTTGTTATTATTGCTTGTTATTCTCTCAGACAATATGCTCAATGAACATATTAAAATTGTTTTATTTATTATAAAAATGATTATATCCTGTACTTTTTTGTCTTTATTGATGGTATTACAAAGTTTTATCGGTAATACTTTGGATGAGACCCCCCCCCCCCCCATCTTTCTCCGGTTTCCTTGACCACTTTGACCTTACTATATGCTTGAGTTAAATTCATTTGAAAGAGCACTTCAAGCTGGGTCGAATGATACCAAGCAGTGCTGGGTATGGCTCCGGGAGCTAGCTCCGGAGCCCGGCTCCGGAGCCGGCTCCGGCGGAGCCGGAGCTAAGATTTTGGAAACCCCGGAGCTGGAGCCGGAGCCAAGAATTTGAAGTGCCCGGAGCCGGAGCCAAGGTTTTTCAATTCCCCACGGCTCCGGCTATACACCCCTAAAGATGGGTTAGAGAAAAAAAGTAAGCAAAGATGCTAGGCGTGAAAAGAAAAGGGAGAGAAAATTGAGACGGGTAAAAAAGATTTTCTTTCCTTTCCTTTTCAATGTAGGTGTGGTTGAATGGATAGTGAGTTAGATTCAGAGTTTTACCCACTTATAGGTTCTAAAAATATTATAACAACTAACTAAATAATTGTTTTTCGTTGGAAAATAAATTATAATAAGCATTTTTTTATTAAATAAAGCTGAATAAATTTTTCAAATTGATTAGTTTTAATCTATGAGGTGTCAAAATTTTCAAAATTTTCGCCTGCGGCGCAAAAAAGGAAGATTTTTGCCTTAAGGATCTTCCAAAATTTTTAAAATTTTCGCCTGCGGCGCAAAAAGTAAGTGATAATGAGAGAGTGATAGATCCACCAGCCCTTAATCCGGCTTAGTCACCGATATCGCCCTTAATCCACCTAAATAACACGATAATCCCCCCAAATCCCGCTTAATCCATTGATAACCCTTTTATTCCTCTTATATCACTCGATATCCTCCTTTATCTACCAAAATCCCCCAATGAAAACTAATTCATTGATTTTCCTCCCGGAGCCCGGAGCCAACATGGAGCGGCTCCGAAAATCGCCGGCTCCGGAGCCGGAGCTGGAGCCAAGATTTTAAAAGGTCGGAGCCCGGAGCCGGAGCCAAGATTTTGAAACCCCGGAGCCCGGAGCCGGAGCCAAGAATTTGAAACCCCGGAGCCCGGAGCCGGAGCCAACAAATGGCAAATACCCAGCACTGATACCAAGATTGGCTGGATTTGGTGATTCTGAACAAAATTAAGGATGTAAAGAGAAAAGGGGGGGGGGGGATCTCAAGCAAAGTATTACCGCTTTATCATTTGTTTTTTACAATTAAAAATATTTAAAATCAAAATAAATCAACAAATTATTTTATATATTTTTCCATAAATTTTCTATGAAATTCAGAACGTATAGCATCATTAATAAAAGATGGAGTCTTTTTACGTTCATCAATTCCACGTGCACAATTTTTGAAGACGACATCATCATCCCACCGACGCTTAACTTTAAAGTCAGTATTTTGAGTTAAAAGAGGATTTCCATGTAAAATGTTTTCTTGACGAATTTTCTCCTGAAAAATAATTTCTAACGATTGAGCATTGCTTGAATACTCTTTTAAAACTTATTTATTAAATAGCTTGGTTTTTTTTCACGAGTCGTCCCGAGGTCAGTGATTAAATTAAAAGTGAAGGCCTAGGATTGCCTTAATCTCAAACATATTAAAATTGTTTTACTATCTCTAGATTCTCTTGGTGTTCACGTAATTAACACTTGCGTGTCAGCCCAAGAAATCGGTTAAATGTAAGGATGAAGCCCGAATATTGGAAATATCAGAAAAGTTGAATAATATTATTGATTTATATATACCTGTTCTTCTGCTTCTTTAGATTCTCTTGCAGCTTTCTCAGCAGCCCTCTCCTTTCTAATTCTTTCTAACTCAGCCATTAATTCAGCTTCATCATCAGAATCATCATCCAAATCACTATCTTCTAAAACATCATCTTGTGGGAAATCTGCATCCAAATTTTGTGGATCATCTAATCTTAATTAAAAAAATAATTTAAAAGAAACTTTTTTCAAAATTAAACTTTGGTCGTTTCGAAATACTGCTAGATCCTGAAGTAGTTCTAGATTCACGGGAATGTCGATCTTTTGAAGTTAATTGCTCTTTTTCTTCAACATCACGACGAAGATCCTAAACAGTTGAAATAAATAGACAATAAATAATTCCCTAAAAACCTTTGTATTAATCTCATCAGGATGTGCTTGGCCTTTTTGACGATATTTTAATGTCATATGAGACGGCATATCTCTACTAGAATATTGCTGAGATAGTTTTGCCAAATCCCCTTCATTTCTTCCTGTGCCACCTTTTGCAGGATCGAAAGTTGGACGATGAGCAGTTGTCATGTTTTTAATTAAATTTTTTTTTCTAAAATACAAAATTAATTTAAATAAAAATCAAAAATAAATAAAAAATTGTAGTAATTTGTAAATTGTAAAAAAAATAGTAAAAAGTTGTCATCTTGCCAAAATGCGGTTAGGGACGATTCCGCGCCGACGATTCCGCGCCGACGGTTCCGCGCCGACGTTTCCGCGCCAGGTCAGTTCCGCGCCATGTCAGTTCCGCGCCATGTCAGTTCCGCGCCAGCACGTTTCCGCGCCAGCTATAGAAGTTCCGCGCCAGTTATAAAATAAGTAAATAATACCTGAACACGAGCCGGTCCACTTTCTATACATGTATGATTATTTACTTAAAAAGATAATGGCTTTTTAGAAATCAAAAAAATTTAAAAATCACAGTATCACATATTTTGTATAGCTGGCGCGGAAACGTGCTGGCGCGGAACTGACATGGCGCGGAACTGACCTGGCGCGGAAACGTCGGCGCGGAAACGTCGGCGCGGAATCGTCGGCGCGGAAAGATACCCCACCGGCCAAAATGAGCATTTCGCCACTCTAGCAAATAAAACCAAAGTAACCGAGAAGTATCCAAAAATCTGTGAGTTTATTAATTTAAAGGGATGTAGTTCTAGGACAGACTCTAAGAGGTTATTTGTTAGAAGAGCCTCGTTAAATCTAATATCTTTACTACAATTTTTTCTCATGAATGCATGAGCATACTTTTACCTTCACACTTAATGTTTTTACCTGTTATTCTTTACATATGTTTTTAATTTTTTTTTGATATACGTATTTTCTCCCCTTTTTTTTATCCCATCACTATAGAGTATATATTGATGAAGGATTTAATGCTTTCAATTATCCTCTCTTCCTTTTCATCACTTCTTTTTTTCATACAAACATACACTTTATATAGTGATATATAAAGGTATTATGTAAAAGGGTACATGTATGCAGATAAGTAGAAGAAGAAAAAGAGAAACTAACAAGAAAGACTTGTGCATCAAGAAGATTTTAACTAAGGGGAAATTTTGGGTGCTGATTGTGAATTTAAGGTCATGCCATTATTTTAACTAGCAATATGCCGATCTTTATTTAAAATTTAAAAAAATTAGAAAAATTTATTCTTGGGAGATATTTGTACTTAAAAATCATCTAACTTAATGTTTTCTATTTTAATTTTCACGTTTAGCTAAGGCACGATAGTTTAAATCTGCAAAAAAATATTATTTTCTATTTTATCTATTTCAAATGTCTACAACGGCAGGAGGGGATGGTAAACCAACTACTCACACAATTCCACCACCTAAAACATCTGGAGCAGCAACTGGCGGGCAACAATTAAGTGCATCTGCAAATCAATTTGTAGATAAGATTGACCCTTTTTCTAAGCGTGGAAATTCGAGACGTAGAAGGAGACTTGTTGGAAGCAGTCGGTATCATACTGACAATGAACCTGATTTGGTCCAGCTTCCGTTGATTAAAGGTTATATTGAACTTTGGAAAAATTAACTTTTGATTCTTTAGATGCATCGCAAGCAGAACAAACAAATTTGGCGATTCAAAAGCTTCAACAATGTCAGAAGATTTTTGATTTTTATGATCCTGTTTCACAGCTAAAGAGCAAAGAGGTAAATTTTCTTATGGGTAAAATAATTTTGGGCACTCTTTTCGTATTTGTATTTATGGGTTTATTTTTCCTTTATGATAAAGTATCATTGGGATCCTTTACCTTTTACTCTTCCTTAGTCTAGTTATGCTAGTATGTCTTCCAATTAAAATTTAGATTAAACGAGCTGCTCTAAACGAATTAATTGACTATACAACTGCCACTAAAAATGCTGTTTGTGAGCCGCTCTATCCGGAAATTATTCGGATGGTTTCGAGAAATATCTTTCGTGTTCTGCCACCTAGTGACAATTCAGAATTTGATCCAGAAGAAGATGAACCCACTTTGGAAGTTTCATGGCCGCATCTTCAGGTATTTTTTTCTGTCAACAAAATGTAAAATTTCTTTATTAAAAATAGCTTGTCTACGAACTATTTTTGCGATTTCTCGAGTCTCCTGATTTTCAAGCAACACTTGGTAAAAAATATATCGACCAGCGTTTTGTGCTTCAACTTCTTGAACTTTTTGATTCTGAAGATCCTCGTGAGCGTGACTTTCTCAAAACAATTCTACATCGTATTTATGGGAAATTTCTTGGACTTCGTGCTTTTATTCGAAAACAAATCAACTATATGTTTTTGTCTTTCGTGTTTGAAACAGAATCGTTTAACGGTGTTAGTGAGATGCTAGAAATTCTTGGGAGGTTTAAATATTTTTTTGAATTTTTAAATAATTTTTTAGTATTATTAATGGATTTGCTTTACCGCTAAAGCAGGAACACAAAATCTTTTTGGTCAAAGTTTTACTTCCATTACATAAGCCTCGGTGTTTGAGTCTGTATCATGCACAGGTTTTTATGAAAAGAATTTTTTAATTATTTTTAGTTGGCTTATTGTGTTGTGCAATTTATAGAAAAAGATTCTACTTTAACTCCTCAAGTGTTCGACGCATTGCTCAAATTCTGGCCTAAAACATGTAGTTCTAAAGAGGTTTTGGATTTTTTACTTAATTATTAGGTTCTATTTAAATAGCGCCTGTATTTTCTTTTCTGCTGTCTTTTCAGATTTAGCCATTTCTGGGCAATTTCTGATATTTTCGTATAAATTTTTAAAATTTTCATCTCCGGTCTACACAAATTCTGTTAAATAACTTTCTAAATGCTGTCGCTTTCCCCTTTTTTGTTTTTCCACTTACCCATACTCACAAGCACTGCTTTCTAAAATCCTTAATCATTATGTGTCACCTTTTGTAATTCTGACATGAATAAGAAGTAGGAAAAGAAATTGTGGTTGTGATCATAGCCACATTACCAAATATTTTAAAGGTTATGTTTCTTGGAGAGGTTGAAGAAATTTTGGACATTATAGAGCCTGAACAATTTAAGAAAATTATCGACCCGCTTTTTAGACAACTGGCTAAATGTGTATCAAGTCCTCATTTTCAGGTTTGAAAGTCTTAAGGTTGTTTAAAATATTTTTTAGGTTGCCGAAAGAGCACTTTACTTTTGGAATAATGAATATATTCTCTCATTAATTGAAGATTGTAGTATTCATGTCATGCCAATCATGTTCCCTGCACTTTATCGTATTAGTAAGGAACATTGGAATCAAACAATTGTAGCTCTAGTATATAATGTTCTTAAAACATTTATGGAAATGAATGGAAAATTATTTGATGAACTTACGGCTAATTACAAACTTGAAAGACAAAAGTATTTTTTTAGTAATTAAAATTTATTCTTTTTTTTTTAATTTTTAGAGAAAAGAAGCGTGAAAAAGATCGTGAAGAACTTTGGAAGCGAATGGATTCAATGGACATAAATTCAATATTGGCACAAATTGAACAAGGAAAGAATGTTCCAGAGCCAAAAATTCTCGAGAAAACGTCTCTGACACTTTTTATTGAAAAAGCTCCAAATTCAATTGTTCCTCCACCGCCTGCCGCTGGGGGGAATGGTCAAGAGGTCAAAAGTGGACAACAGGTGAGCGGAACGAGAGAGAATCGAACATCACAGTCACAAAATCCAGAAGGAGGGAACGAAACGGTAGTTGCTTCAACAGGCGAAAATATGGCTGCAAATTCACAAACAGCCTCTAGTGGAAAGAAGTCTTGATTCAAAGTTTGGAATTGTCAATAATTTGAATCTAACAAAAAATTTTAGCAACAAAAGTAAAAAAGACTTAAAATTTTTCCTGCTTTGGATCAGCTTGTTTTCATTTCAATGGGTGAGGGGCAAAACACAGTCCGGATATTAGAATAAAACATACCGTCCACATAGTTATTCTTTGTTAGTCCCCCCTAATATCCCTAAAATTTTTATTTTAAATTTTATTTTGTAACTAAAACGGACATGTTTTGTCTCGACACGCCTTTCAATAGTGTGTAATCAATATATAAAATTAATTAGGGATTGGACGAAAAAATATCTTAAAGTTTAATTTGTTCATTTTTATATTAACGAGTACTTCAATCCTTAGATAAAATAAATTCCTTCTTCCTGCCGCTGCTCCTCTTTTTTTATTTTTTTCTACCCAGCCTGCCAGGTCAGCACATATTAAGAATATTTAACAATATAATATTACCAACCCTCTTAAATATTTTGTTCTGCTGTTCCTGTGCCCCTCCCTCACTTTACCAAATATATAATAGGAATGATAATGTTCTCTCTCTCTTTGATTTTCCGATGACTTGAAATATATTTTTGTTTTTTACTGCATGTCCACCACAAACTCATTACTCCAGACTTTGTCAAATATTGTCTAAATAAATTTTTTAAATATTGATTTTATTGTTTTGTTAATTTTTAAGGGAAATTTCACTTATAAAAAGGGATAGGAATTTTAGATTTTAAAGTGTACGAAACCAAAATAGTGCCCTTTAGAGGGGGTTAAAAAATAGTACTGCCGGCAGTAATTTGAGGAAATATGGCTATCAAGCCTTACACGACAGCGAATATCTTCTCCAAAAAGGAAAACAGTTTTATCAATTTTAAAAGGAAAGTGTTTTTTTAATTTTGCCAGATTCTAATTGATATAAGAATCTGGTAATAATCTTTATTCAACACTTGGAATATAAAGAATTTACTAAATATTCGAAGTATTTTTTATTTTTACTCAAAATACAATTAGATACAAATTTGTAGAAAAATCAAACCAGTGTTAAAAAGAAAAAAATGTTTAAAAGTTCAGTGAAACGCCCCCATAATTAAATATAAAACCCTCTATAAATGACAATGAACTTTAAAACTTGAAAGAGATAAAATAAAAATTATGTTTCCTTTTCCCCCTCTTCCTTAACATTATTAATACCAATACTGGCTGGTTGTTGGCCTGTATTGATAATTGGTTCAGTATTGGTAATACTCTTATTAATAGAAGTATTACTATTTAGTAAAACAACAACATCATCGTCATCATCTAATATACTATCGTCATAATCTTGTTTAATTTGGGATGATGGATGTTTCTTGTTTGCAGCAATTTTCTCCAAGTGTTCAATTTTCTTTGAGAAATTTTCGACCTCGGAGTTGTGAAATTTTCTTATTGAATCAAGTAAAAGTCGAAGATCAGTCTGAAAAAGAAAAATAATTAAAATAAGGAAATTAAATATTTTAAACAAAAGGGGGATCTGAAAACAAAAGGATCCGATTAGAGGGGAACTCGGGATAATTCCTTCTCCCGACTAAATAGGAAATAGGGTCCTCCCTATTTGATCTAAATTAATTATTCCCCCCATTACTTCAATTCATTATATGCTCTTATTAAATTATACAAAACAATTTTAAAAAAGTTAAGATAAAATTAAAAATATGTAAAACAAAAGGAAGATTTCTTTAAAAAAAGCGAAAAATACTCTTGGGAATTTATAAAAAATATTTTAGAGAAACAAACAATCTCTGCTTGAAAAAAAAGCGTCTCAAACATTAAAATATTTTTACGTTTTTATTTCCAAGTTTATTTTTCCCGTTTTTTAATATGTTGTTCTCTCAACTAAACAAACAATTATTTACACAAAGATTAGTCAGCAAAAAAAGAAATTTTTGGAGAGAAAATAGGCCCTTTTTTAAACAAAACTAAAAAGTATTTTTTAAATACAAAACTTGATTTGTTTGATTTTTTATATGGCAATATTAGTAGGTATTTTTATGACAATAAATAAAAATAATCAAATATTCTCTCTTCTCTCTCATTTACAAACCTCCAAAAATTATTTTTTAATAAAAATATTTTCTTTAAAAAATGCAAAATAACAAAATAATTATTGTTATTTTAATTTTGTTTTCATTAAATTATGTAAATTCACAACAAGCTTATTGTTGGGATTTAAATCCTTGTGTTGAATTTAATTGCCCACAAATTGGACCGAGGTTAGAATTATTTTGTGTTTATCTAAATTATGTAGATTATGTCCACCCGAAAATGTATTAATTTATTATGATTGTTGCCCAACTGATGGATGCTGCCCATTCATTAAATGGCCAAATTTGTATGTTTAATTAAAATCGTGTTAAAGTGACCGTTACTAGACATTAAAAAAGGGGTTTAGCATTTAGGGATTTTTCTCAGAATCTCAAAAATAAAAAAAATGGGGCTAAAAGTCAAAATAAATTACTAAAATGGTCACCTTTTAATTACTAAGATGGTCACCTTTTTAAATAAAAACATTTTAACACTCAATTATTAATTAATTTTTTTTATTTAAAAAACAGATTATTCCTAATTTTTATAATTATTCTCTTAATTGCTGGCTGTATTTGTTGTGGATTCTTTTTATTAACCGATGCCAGACAAAAAGTATTTCACAGAAAACAAAGAGAAGAAATAAATAATCAAAGAATTAAAAGAGAAACAGGAAGATATATTAATGGATTTAATCACAAAAATCATTCAACAACTATTGTTTAAATATTTAAAAAAATTCCTAATTTTAACACCAAAAACAAAAAGTATATTATTTAGGAATTCTACAGCAAAGTATAAAAAAGTCTTGATTTTTGATAATTCTTTTCCTAACATTTTTCCATGGATTGAGGAAAAAAGATGGGGGGGGGGGGGGGGTGAAAGGATATAGATATTGATAATATTCTACTTAATATAAACTGGTTTAATTTATATATGCGTAAACAAAAATGAAAACAAATTGAACCTTGATGAATAGGGACTACTACTAGGAAAAGAGAATTTTTGTGTACAAATATTGTCTCCGTTTTCGTAAAAAAGAATAAAAATTGTAAACAAACTTCTTTGCCTATACAAAAATTCAAAAAACTTACAGAATGTCTATCCACGTTATCCTTTTCTGCTTTCGAAATCCCCATAACCATTGGCTGTTGCTGCTGTTGTTGTTGTTGTCTAATTTTTGTTATTTCTGTTTCGTGTTTTGCCCGAATGTCAGCAATTATTTTTTGCCAATTTTCAGCATTTTGTTTTTGCCTTTCTTCCATTTCTGTTTTTTCTTTAATCCAAATACGCTCCCTCATTTCAAACATATTAATTCTTGTTGCATAATTTCTATAAATTAATTTTATTTAAATAAAATATCCAAAAAAACATTTCAAATATTCTAACCTTAAAATTTATTTTCCTATTAATTAGTCCAAAAAAATCATTTTAAAAACCATTTTACATTAAAAATAATTTAATGTAAAATTTCCCATTTTCCCCTAAAAATAAACAAAAAAAACCTATTCTTTTCATTTATTGCATCAAAATTAGCCTCCATTTCTTCATAACGAGGTTTAATTCGTTTTAATTCATCTTCATAAATTGTAGCTCTTGAAAAATTAGAAAAATTTTAATTTTATTTAAAAAAATTAAAAAAAAACTTTTCTCGAAATTCTTTAGATCCATCAAGTAAATCAACACATTTTTTAGAAAGTGTAGAATTTCTTTCATTTAAAAACGTCACTTGTTCACTTAACATTCTCGAATTATTTTCTGAAGCATCCAACTTTGCTTTTAATTCATCTCTTTCAGAAACTAAAGCAACTTTTTCTTGTTGAAGTGTTTCTACTCCAATTTCTAATGTTTTCATTACCTAAAAGAAAATAAAAGTTAAAATTTGAAGACAATCAAAAAATTGAAGGTAATGACTAAATCTGACAAATACGCAACAGATTCAATAAAAAGCATTATTTAGGACAGAAATCAGAGATTTACGTCTCTATGGGCCCCTATCCTAAATTTATCTTTTTAATAAAAAAAGTCAGATAGAATAATCAAGTAAAATTACCCCCTCCTCCCCTCCAACAAACCTCAACAATTTCAGCATTCCTTTTAACAACAGCATTATATTCCCTTTGTAATGTCAAAAGTCTACTTTCCGCATAAGATTTAGCAGTATTTGTATTTGAAAGTTCAGTCTCCAAACGAATTACTTGAGATTGAGCAGCAGCGAGTTGTAAACTTAAAGACTCATTTCGAGATTCAAAACCTAACGAAGATGAAGAATTTGGTTTTTGGGTAGAAGTAGAATTGCTTCCTCCGTGTAAATAATTTAAATTGGTTGAATGTCTAAAAAAGAAAAAGAGTATTCCTTTCTAATTATTTTATTTTAATTAAGGCAAGGGCAAAAAGGGCTAATCGAAATAGAGAGAAATTAGGGGCTAAAAATACTTGCCAAAATTTTATCAAAATAGTTTATTCATATAAAAATTACCTTGATTCTTCTTTTCCGTCTTTTTTACTACTTTTGTGGTATTTTGAAGGAATTGGAATTTTTCTTACATCATCATATCTTCTCCCATTACTAATTGATGAAGACCCTTGATAGCTCATTTAATTAAAAAAAAGATTTAAATTTAAATGTAAAATCTGAAAATTAAAAAAAATTTAAAGGTTAAAAGAAATGAAGAAATTTCAGAGTTTAATCCTAAATAAAAAATTAAAGATTTAAATAAAATCAGACGTCGGCGAAACGCTTGTGCAAGATCACGCCGAACCGTGGCACGCCGAATAGCTGGCGCCCAAACGTGGCGCGCTCTTTTGTGGTGCTCCTCAGAAAAAAGATTTTCCGAGTCTTAAACGTTACACATTTTTAACCTACTCTATTAAATAAATGTGTCAATATATTTTTTCTTTTTCAGTCAATATTCAAAAAATTATGGGTAGTAATTCGAATTATACGCCACTTGGACAAATTAGAAGATGGCCAAAAAACGAAGATGAGACTTTAGGTCAACAAAGCACTTCTGCTGGATTGTTAGCCCCAATTCCTGGAGAACAAATTGGTTTTTTTTGTTTTATTTTTATTTTACTCAAAATCTTTTTTTAAAGGTATTCAAGGAGAGATTTTGGTCCGTGCTCAATTAGCTACGGGGGCCTGTACAAAATGTGGTTATGTTGGCCATTTGCCTTTTCAATGCCGTAATTTTATCCAAATAAAGCCAAACCAAAAGACGGAAATTGATATTTCCTCAACAAGTTCTGAGGAATACACAACACCTTTGACATCAAAAGAAGGTATATATTCTTTAAAAAATTATTTTTGAAATTTTTAAAATTTAAAGACAAGAAAAAGCTCAAAAAAATGAAAAAACGTCAAAAGAAGGAAATGAAAAAATTAGAGAAAAAAATTAAAAAAGAAAATAAAAAGAAATATAGAAAGAGGAAACATTCATCCTCTTCTTCTTCAGATACTAGCAGTAATTCAACAAGTTCAGAAAAAAGTAGAAAGAGGCACAAGAAAAAATTAAAGAAAAAGAAATATTTGTAAAAGTTTGTTTAAATTTATTTTTTTATAAAGAAAATTTTTTGAAATTTGTTTCGGAAGATTTTCGAAAATTATAGATTAGATAACAAATCTAATAAGTAACAGATTTGAGTTTAGCATATTTGGAAGACTAGAAAAGACCTATGTATAAATTATTTACAAAAAGTTTAAATAATTTTTTTGAAATATTTAAATGTTTGTTAAATAATAGTAAGAAATTACTAATTTAAAATAAAAACTTCACAACAAATTTAATAAAATAGCAATATTTATTTGAATAAAAATCATAACAAATTAAACCGAAAGAATCATCAAAGAAATATTCAAAACAATCAACTTTAACGACTAAATAAAATATTTTGGTCAAAATTACTTCGAGCAGAAACTCCTCGGCCGCGTCCCTACAAAAAAATTAAAATTTATTTTGATTTTTATAACTTCGCATCCTTTCCTTCCCCCTCAAAAGTTTAATAATGGCCGACTTTTTCCTTCCTAAATCTCAATCCATTTCCATAGGACATCCTCAAATAAGGATGTTATTCATTCAGAGACCCCTTTTTTACTTAAAAAATTCGAATCATAAAATTTAAAATTACATAAATTTCTGCAGAAATATTTAAAATTTTTGGGATTTTCTTTAATAGTAATTTCAATTTAAAAAACTTAAACAAATTTACCAAATTTCCCCTTCCTCTACCAGCCGTTTGATTTGAAGAATTAGAAACAAGCCCACTCAACAAATTACTTCCACTCGTACTCGATGAAGTTGAAGGCTGCTGACTTTGTTCTTCCATCAATCTTTTACTTCGAGAAACATAAACCTTTTTACCCCTTCCAACAGCATATTTTGAACTTTTAAGTTTTTCTCTCTAAAAAATTTTGGTTTTTTTAAATTAATTTTTAGAAAATTTTAACCTCTTCTTCTAATTTTTCCCATTCATCTTCAATTCCAAATCGTTTTTTGTAGCGTTTAGCAAGAATTCTATCGGCATTTGGGCATTCACTGCTGCTGGTATTGTTTCTCATACGAATCTTTCTAAATTTTTTAGAGTTAAACATTTATTGGTACAATAACGAATTTAATGCCCCCTTATATTTTTTCTCAAAATATTCATAATAGGCAGACTTCCCCAATTCCACTAATGGATTTCCCTTTGGCATATTCAAAATTGTTTTTTTTACAATTTTTGGAATCATGTTTCTCTTTAATATTTATACTTGTGAGCGTAATTCTTTTGTCAGCTTCAGATAACGACGCTGGAGGTCAACTCACTTTCGGTCAAGTGACCCTGGAGGTCAACTCCAAATACTTGGGCGGATAATATTTGGAGTTGAAAATCAAGGTACGACTCTCCAAATATTTGGAGTTGACCTTCAGGGTCTGTTGAACACTGGGGAGTTGATCTCTAATACGGATGGAGCCATCTAATCTCGTATTCCCAGAACTGTCAATTTGGGGCAGATTTAAACAAATCCTCTAAAATCTATCTGTGACGATTTTTTGGGACTAATATTAAAACAATAAACAAATAAATACCTATTTCTCTCCAATTCCAAAAAAGATGCCGCTTGCTCCCGATGAATTGCAGTTCTTTTGTCAGCTTCAGATAGCGGATAATGGTAGGTTGTTACACCATCAGAATTGTCAATCTCAATAAATTCTTTCATGTGTTCCGAGCGTAAAAACTCTTGAAAAGAATTGAATCCAAACTTCTGAGCTAATTTGAAAGGATCGATGCCGCTGTCTTCACTGAAAATTAAAAAACATTTTAGAATCTTATATGTCAGAATCTTCACCCCCGCCCCCCCTCCAATTAAATCTCTCAAATGCTAGTCATTTGAAAACTTACAAAATATGCAGTCCCAAATCCCAATCTCGAATATACCCAATTTCATTTGCCTTCAACGTCTTAAAAATCTTTTGACAAAAATCTTTTATTTCTCCACCAATATCCACATGTTGTTCATTACTTCCACCAGAACTTAAAGTAAAATTTTGCAAATTAAACAAAGTTTGCTCCTCAACCATTTTTTAATAACTAAATAAAATTTCTACAGAAATAGTATTCCCCAATCAAAAATACACATAACAAAACATTAAAATAATTTTGAGATAAAACACAAAATAATCTCTTTTCTGATCCAAATTTAAATGTAAAAAATTAGAAAATTAATGTACGACCGTTTTGTCGCGGGTACAGCCCAAAACTGCGCAGGCCAAAACTGCGCAAGCCCAAAACTACGCAGGCCAAAACTGCGCAAAACTATTTAGTAAAAATAAATAAAGGAAAAAAATAAAGAAAAACATTCTCATAACGAACAAGTTCAGCTACATATACGCAGAGTAGTTAAACGGATTCGACTCCGGCACAAGATGCACCACAAAATAATGAAAGTCGCGCTGTTTTGATAATTCCTCAGAAATACCAACGTTATGAATATAAACCTGGAAAGAAGATGAGCAAAGAATACTTGTTTTTGGTCGAGAAAGTTCCGAAGGTTTTTCTGAAGGTTTTTAGACTAACTAGTTAAAGGAAACTAACTAGTCTCTTTATTAAGCTTGGACACATCTTATTGAAGACTAACTAGTTAAATTTAAACTTATTGTTAGGTTATAAAACTATGTTTTTTTCCTAGTTTATTATCCTGGTTATTGAATTTTTTGTTAGAATGTTTTACATTTAATAAATTTTGATGAACACCGAATTTTAAAAACGGAAGGCGGAACAGCAAAAAAAGACGGAAAGCAACGGAAGAGACTCCATCCTCTAGTTAGTTTTGCGCAGTTTTGGCCTGCGCAGTTTTGGGCTTGCGCAGTTTTGGCCTGCGTAGTTTCGGTCGCGCAGTTTCGGTCGCGCAGTTTTGGCTCGCGCAGTTTTGGGCGTGTCCCTTTTGTCGCAAATCACAGCATCTTAACCTGTTACTTTTAGCCGTTTCAGTGGCACTGAAATAAATAAAAATACTGTATCTTTTTCTTTTCCCCACTATTTTTTTCGCGTGCTATTTTCTAAAGATTTGGGGGTTGCAATTTCGAGAAGCTTAATCTCGAAAGAACTCCTTTTAAAAAAAATTTTGTCCAACCCAAATAATGAAACGGTGTCTTATAATGAAACGGTGAAACGGTGTCTCTTAACTTTGTTTTAAAACCAAATTTATTAATTCTTGGAATGGGAAAAATTTTTTTTGAATGGCCAAATACACCAGTTTTAAAAAGTGAAAAATTAAAATAAAAATTTATTTAAAAAATTCATTTTACTTTAAAATGACATTAAATGTCAATTATCCAAGATATTATTGGGATTTACACTTTATATAAGTCATAATGATCGATTGGGTTCGAACCTTACACTTAAAGTGGGCGCGCTACCAACTAAGCCACAAGTACCGCGATGAAAGTCAAGTAACAGCGTCTGCCTATTTTAAGATGCTGTGCGCAAAGGCTGAATGTATTACTGTAGTACTTTTTAAAGTTTAATATAAAGTTAAAGTTTAACAAATTTCTAAATATAGTTCAAAAATATATATCAACCCGATTCCTAACTAAAACCCCTTTTGTATTAATGAACAATAAGTTTGGCATTTAAGTCTCTCAAATAATTATCCTCCCAATTCTTTACTATAGACTAATTATAAAAATTTAATTTAAAAAATAATTAAAATTTTTAACAATGCAATATTTATCACCATAAAATGCAATATTTTATGGTGATCAAGAAATATATCGAGGCATTTCTTCAAAACCTTAATCCTCCTATATCTCTCCAAATCTAGTGATATCCCCTAGATTCCTTAAAATAATTTGCGAAAGTTTACTGCCTTTATATATCCCAAGAAGGAAGTATACAATTTTCTAAAATAAAACCACTTTATATAGGAATATATTAAGTGAAACTTCAACAATTATCTCTGCATTAGGTAGCATTTTGTATATCCCCTATAGATAAATGATAAAATAAAAAATATATAGCTAAGCCCTCTCAAATAATTACCCTCTACAACGAGCTGTTGAAACATAATTACCCAGGGCAATTATTCGAGTATATTCGGCACTTATATTTGTTATCTTTTTAATAGTTTATTTCTTCTTATCTTTCTTCATTTTTCTTTCAAATTAGAAAAAAAACATTTTTTTCATTAAATAATAAAGAGAAATAATTATTTTATTCATACTTACATATTTATATTTTTTTTTGGAATTTTCTTTTAATTTTTACATCAATTTAAATATTAGGTAAATTTTATATACTTAAATACATCTTTTAAAAAAATTTATGTTCAGTTTTTTTAAAGTAATACAGATATATTATTTTTTTGGAGTTTTTCCTTTAAACAAACAAAATATTTTAATTTTTATCTACATAATTACCTAGTACAATAAAAATTGTTTTAATAATTCAAGTTAATTTTAGATATTAAAAAAATGAAATTAATTAATTATTTAATTCTAATTTTTATATTAAATAATTTTGTTGTTTTATCTGATAAAGAAAAAATATTTTTAATAAAAGAATTGCCAGAAGAGAGTTTAACAACTGTAAGAAAATTTATATTTATTTTTTAAATAAATAAATTAGCCAGAAATAATTGAATATTATGGATATAAATGTGAAATACACAAAGTTTTAACTGAAGACGAGTATATTTTAGAAATGCACAGAATTCCTTTTGGAAGGAATTTTAAAGGAATAAATAAAAAACCAGTTATTTTTCTTCAACATGGATTATTGGCATCTAGTGCTGATTGGGCAAGTTTACTTTAAATCCTCTCCTAACCCGTTTACACTTAAGATTTAAATATTCTCCAAACTAAGTTCCCTTCCCTCATATACCTTCTCGTTAACCAACTTATACTACCTAATTCCTTCAAAACCCCTTCAGATATTTTTTCCCATTTCCTCCTATATTTCCTCTCGTCCATAATTCTTATCAATATTCTTTTAACAACTTCCCTCACAGATAACTAATTTGCCCTATCAATCATTGGGATTTTTGTTAGCAGATGCTGGCTTTGATGTCTGGCTTGGAAATGTTCGTGGCAATTTTTATTCGTCAAAACACAAAAAATATACACGAAAAGACCCCCAATATTGGAATTTTAGGTAAATAATTAATTAAAAATTCTTTCAATAAATAAATAGTTGGGACGAAATGTCATCTAAAGATTTGCCAGCAATGATAGACAAAGCTTTAAAAGTTAGTGGACAATCAAAATTATATTATGTTGGACATAGTCAAGGGACAGAAATTATGTTTACACAATTGTCTAATGGAAATCCTGACTTCTCAAAAAAGGCAAAATTTATTCCTTCTTTTACATATTTTCCCTCTTTTTTCCTTTTATTCTTCCCCCTTTTTTTATTAGATAATCAAATTTTTTGCATTAGCACCTGTTGCTTCTGTCAAATACATTAAGGGGTTATTTGCAATAATTGGTAAATTATTTGGTAAACATTTGGGAATTCTTAGTTGGCTATTTGGTTCACATGAATTTCTTCCACATAATTGGGCAACACAATTATTTGCAAAAATGATCTGTGGGCAAAGCTGGGAAAACCCGTTTTGTGATAATATTCTTTTTCTTATTGGTGGACCTGAAACTTCTCAATTTAATAGGGTAATTTGATCGGGGATTTTTTTTGTTACAGATTAAGTTCGAAAAGTATTTGAGCCTTTAATTTAAGTTGAAAATTAGAAATTTCGATTTTCTCATAATTAGAAAATACCGTTATTTTTTCAAGCCTCATGGGATCTATTTGAAAAAATATGGTAATCTTAAATTTTTATTATATTCTGAGTCAAGGACATATAAATTCAGATTTTTAGCTTAAACTTTTAGGCCATTTAAATTTAATCGTTTTTATTTAGAACATAAATATTTAAATATTCCAAACACTATTTTAGAGTCGTTTAATGGTTTATATGGCACATGAACCCGCTGGAACTTCAACAAAAAATATTATCCACTGGGTAAAATTAATAATATAAATTTACTAAAAAATCTTTAATTTTCTAGTCACAAATGCAACAATCTGGTTTTGTTCAAAAATTTAATTACGGAACAGCAAAAGCTAATTATTTACATTATGGACAAGTAAAGAGGGAAAGAGAGAATATTTAATTAATTAAAAAATATATTTAGAATACTCCACCAATCTACAATTTAACTAAAATATCCCATGTCCCAATTTATTTATATTATAGTGATTCTGATTGGTTAGCAACTAAAAAAGATGTTGAGGTAAATTGAGATCAATTAAAAAAAATTTTTTTTAAAAAGGAAACAATTCTTCAACAAATTCCATCAAAATATATTAAAATTGCAAAGAATTTACCCAATTTTAATCATTTTGATTTTATTTGGGGTATTAATGCACATAAAATAATTTATGATGAAATTATAAAAGAAGCTTTAAAGGAGGAATAATTGAATATTTTTGGGATGTAAATACTGAATGAGACCAATTTTAGTTATTTTATACAGTCAGACCTCTTTTTAACGTTAATTAAATACCAAATACACTCTTTTTACAAGTGAGGTCCGACTGTAGACTTTAAATTTTTAAACTATCAATCTTTAGGAAATTATTATTATCTCAAATAATCCCTTACATTTTAAAGTAATGTCCTTGCATAATTGTTTACTGAGAATTTTCATTTTTTAAAATAAATAAAATTAAAAGAAATTAGTTTATTATGTATTTTAAAAGATTATTATTTTGTAATTAAAAATAGTTTTTTAATATATTATTTAATTTATTTTATTATTATCAAAATCAACACTTTCCTCAATACTTTCTTCAAACCAACGCATAATATTAATAGCAAAATCAGCTCCAACTTCTACTTCTTCCAATGGATGATTTGAATTTGGATAAGAGAGTACTCTAAAATATTTAAAAATTAAAAGAAAATTTAAATTCTATGGATTTTCTTTTTCCACTAAATTTTAATTTTATAAGAAAGTGTTATAAACTAACACTAACCCCCCTAAATAGTTTATTTAAATTTAATAACTAATTAAATTTAAACTTACTTGCATTTAACTTTATTTGCTTGTAAACAACGAATAAAAATTTTATAATGTGGTGCAACGCGTAAATCCTTTTCCCCAATAAGTAACAAATAAGGCGTTTTTATTTTATGAACATGTGCAATTGGAGAACTATTAAACATTGAATTTCTTTGTTCTTCAGTGAGTGGAGATTTGTAATTATTTGGAAAAACTCCAGTGCTTTCAAAAATTGCCCTAAAAAATATTTTTATAAAATAAAATTCAAAAACAAACCAATCAGTAATATCTGTTAAACTATGCATTGACAAAATATCAAGTACTGGATTGAGTGCAACACATGCACGAAAGAAATTCTTAAATATTAAATAATATAATAGGAGTTTGTTTTAAATATCCCTCGAGATTGAGATATCTTAAATCGAGCTTTTATGGGTGAATTTCTTAAAGATATTCACATAAATTTAAAAAAAATCTAACCGGATATTGCCCAATCAAATGTGAAACTAAAAACCCTCCATGTGAACCACCAAAAAGCATAACTCGATTTCGATCAAAATTTGGTGAAGAATCTAATGTTGCACAAGTAGCATGCTTTAAAATTAATTTAAATATTTTTAATTTTACAAAAAAAAATACATAAACATCCTTCACATCCAAATCACCACAATTTCCAGGTAAGGAACGTACAAAACTATCTCCATAACCAAGTGAACCATGATATTGAACAAAAAGTATTGCATATCCATTTTGTAACATAAGTAAAACTTCTCGACGAGGCCAACTATTTAAATTTAAAAAAACATAAAAATTTTATAAAATAGTAGAATACAAGTTTTTTTACCTACAAAGCGAAGAATTATGAGGACCTCCATGTGGAAGAACAACTAATCCAATTTTTTGGTTATTTTCAGTGGATGGCTGAATTAAAATTCCTTCATATGGACGATTCTCTAAAAAATAGTAAAAAATTTAAAATTAAAAGTTTCTAAAAAATTTCTTATTTTTACCTTCTCGCATAAATTTTACAACACGCCAATCCCAATTAATTTTAATTAAATCATCAGGAATTTGTTTTGATTGAAGAGGAATTATGTCATTTAAATAATTGCTGTCGTCACCTTTATTTTCAAAATGTGAAAGGTAAAGTGAAGGGGGAGAATTTGGAGAATCATTAGAAAAAAGAAGAAAATCATCAAAAACATCCAAAAGTTTATAAGAGCCTTTAGATGGCAATTTAAGTTGGACAAGTTTGGAACTTTTCAAATTCAATGCCATTATAACCTATAAATAAACAAAATATAATCGTGTAACTGGCAAGTAAGAGTCATTTATTAAGAACAGGAACTCGAAATAAAATTATTCAAAATCAGTTTTCGATTCAACTCCGACAACCAAGAAATTTGCTAACTATTTAAAAAAACTTGCCGTTTTAGAACGTGAAAGACTTGTGAAAAAGAAAATTTGTCCAGTACTGTCCCATGCACGGTTAGATACATATTGACCAAAAATACCAACAAAAGAATTCTCATTTGTTAGATAATCAACAATTGGCACAACAATTTCTGAAATTTTGTCACAAGAATTCCAATCAATCTTAAAATAAATTAAAAATATTTTTTTAATTTAAAAAAAACTTTGCAAAGTGCAAAACAAGCAGAATGAGGGCCACCAGCCTTTCTTGCAAAGAAAATCAAATAACTGCCATCAGGAGAAAATGAAAGTTGGTTGAAAGAAGCGAAATTATTTTTTAAACATTCATCTTGGGGGTTCGTTATTAATTGAATAAGTTGTTTTGTGTTGAAATTAAAAGTATAAAGTTTTCCTCTAAATTTTAAAAATATTTTAATAAGTTTTTATTTTTTTAAAAGAATTATAGTTTGAATAAAAGAGAAATTTAATAGAAATAATTTTCTAAAATAATATCAATCAAAAAATTCTCTTTTAAAAAAGGCTGAATAATTCAAATTATAAAAATTAAAACCTACGGTCTATTATCACAAAATATCCGTCCAAGTTTAAAAGGTTCATTGTCTAGACCAAAGAAAACAATTGAAGAATTATCTGGACACCAAACAATCTAAAAAAAACAATTCCTTTTCTAAAAATAATTAAAATTAGATACAGATTCAGGAGTAATTTTATCCATCCATTCTTCATCAAAAATATCAATTTTCTCTTCATTAATATCCAAAACAGAAATAATAGGTCGCTTCACTTCAACACACTGTTCACCCCAACTTTCAACTACCTTAAATTTATCGCCCTAAAATAAAAAAAAATTTGAAAGAATAAATTTAGTTTAAATAACAATTTTTAATTTAGCCAATTTTTCTGTATCATTCCATTCCAAGTCAGCATCATAAAATTCTGCAGGTTTTTCTTGACGTTCTGCCAGATAGAGTAGTTTATCTTCATTAGGAGACCATTTGAATACACCAAATACAGAATCTAAAAAATAAAAAGAATGTAGTAGTAGACTAGAAGATATCAGTAACCAGAAAAAAAGGTATAAATCCATAATTTCAAGAAACTTATATTCTTTAAAAATTATTTCTTTTAGCACTCGCTTCAATAAAGCTTCTGGGTATTTACTCATCAAAACAACTAAATAAACCTTTAATAACAACCCCATGCTTCTTCATCCCAGTGACATTAATACAAAGAAGACAAGCACCAGTTTGATTATCTGTAATCTAAAATTTAAATGAACATTTTTATTAAAAAAATAAAATACTCGAAAAAATTGCTTTCGATCACTGCCATTTCCATCCTTTATTTCAAACAACGTCGCTGTTTTGCGTCCTGACGGACATACAGAAATTATTGAAGATCTAAATATTTATTAAAATATTTAATAATATCCTTACTCTGTAGTGTCATCAGGTAAAGCAAAGCTGTCCAGCTTATCTATTTTCTTAGTTCCATGATTATATTTAAAAGACGATACACGATGTTTACGAACAGTTTTTTTCATTTGTTGTGCACGGTCGGACCAAATACTGTTAACCTGAAGAATTAATAAGCTAATTTACTAAGAAAGTTACTTGAATGATATCAGAATCCGTTCTCCATATACGACCATAAAATGCAAGAGGAATACGCGAAGCTCGATCATATAGATTAATCCAGTTTGGAAGTTTTGTAAAATTGGAAGACATTTACAAAAATATAAACAAATAATCTAGTCCAAACAAAAGAATTTGCAAAAAAAAACGTTTTTAAGTAGATTTAAAAATATTTGAAAATATTCCTAATAGGCATATTTAACTACCCGCTTTTAAACATTTTACTCGAAATTTTAAAATTTTGTTACTTTACTAATTGTTTAAAATTTATAGTCCCAAAAGTACAGAAATAAGGTGAATATTTAAAAAAATCAAATAGTCAAAAATAAACAAAAAATAAATCATGAGGAGAATGTTAAATAATTTTTTGAGATCGTCTAATTCTTATTTGTTAGGTTGCTTTTTCTTCTTATTGGTAATAACAAAATCATCATCATCGTCGTCATCCTCTATTATCTGGCGCCGTTTTTCTTTCTTCTTCTTAACAACTACTTCAGGTTCATCATCGTCGTCGACTATTTGTCGACGTTTCTCTTTCTTCTTGACAATAAAATCAGAATCCGAATCACTATCATCTTTTACTTGACGCTTTTTAATCTTTTCCATCTTCATTTTTGGTTTGATTTTTCCAGCATTTGCTTCTTTATTTTCCTTATCTTCCTAAAATTATAATTTTAGAAAAAATTTTAATTCAAGGGAATTTAAGAAAAATATTTTGTTAAATACACAACCTGTGCATCCAAAGCATCCAAAAATGTTTTCAAGTCTTCCTCGTATAAATCAAACCATTCCTTTCCTTTCAAAATATTCAATTCGTTCTTTTTTGCTTCACTTTCAGCAAGTAATTTATCTTTGTCTTCCATAGATAATTTCCAAATAGCCATTCCAACTAAATAATCATAGTCAGAAACCTTCTTTTCAAGTTCGACGTTGACAGCTTCATTTTCTTCAGCCTCGTCCTAAAAGTAAAAAATAGTTTAATGATTTGGTGAGGATGAAGTTATGATCGACTAAAATTGTCTCAAGAAACTCAAGAAAATTCGTCATGGAATCCGAAAATCTAATGTCAAACTTGCTATACGCAGGCTACGCAAATTAATCCCCTAATTAATTTACAATTACTATCAATATAGATCAATTCCACCCAGGTAATTAAATCTTTATAAAAATATTACCTCTTCCTCATCTTCGGTAAGATTCGCTTCCCCACACATTTCCAATTCCTTACGTTTTTGTTCATCTTTCCACTGCTTTACAGGATCTGGTTTGAACTTGTTTTTTTGCAATTGTTCGATAATTGCAGACTTTCTTTTGTTTTCAATGTAGATTTCGCCATTTATTTTCATCATAATAAAGCGAGCCTTTTCACTTAATTGATTACTTTGTGCTTGCAACATTCCTTCAAGATATGCCTTCCTCTTCTTATACAATTCCCTTCTACAGTCAAAGAATTCTTGGCATATTTGTTCAGGAGTTTCAAATTTACGTAGACAACCTGCTGCATCAAACAAAACCTTTAAAATTTTTAAATTAAAAAAAAAAGAATAAAAATAAATAACCATGTTCGAAGTATTAATACTTGATTTAAGCGAGAACACATCGTACAATCCTTTTTGTTCTGCTTTTGCCATGTCATCTGGTTTTAATCTACAAATAAAGTGCACAGTAGTGTCTGTATGATATTCTTTATAGTCTTGAAGTAGTTGCGGTTTATTCTTCTCTGAGCCATCAAACATTGGTTCAATAATTTTCTCTTTGTAAGTTTGTGTCCAAGTTTTGACAGGAAGTTCAGTAATTTCAACTGTGCCATTCTCAATAACATTAATAATGCCACGAGATTCAAATTTGCCGTTATTGTTGCTACCAACTATTTCACCAGTAAAACCTTTATACCATGGAATCTGAAAAGAAGTAAAAAATTAAAATTACACAACCATTAACTTTAAAATTTAACAAAACAAATTTACTAGAAGATAAACTTTTAGCCGATTCCGTACTTATTTTTGTTAGGACTTATCAGACAAACTACAAACAAAAATATCCCGGACACTCAAGAATCAAGAAATGACAATGATACATTCAAAAACAAAAATTATTAACCATAGGCTGAAGAGGCTCTCCTTTGATCAAACGACGCATTTGGTCGACCAATTCACGAGGATTGTAATTTGGAACTACTGTAGACCATCCAGTTCCAATACCTTCAGCTCCATTTGCAAGAACAGTTGGAATAACAGGACAATACCATTCAGGCTCAATTCGTTGATTTTCTTCATAAAGGAAACGAAGAACATTTTCATCAGATGGAGGAAAAAGAGTTTTAGTTACAGGACTAAATAATAATTGATTCTAAAAAATATTCAAACACATACTTGAGTTGAGTGAAAATATAACGAGGCGAAGCATTATCTTTTCCTCCTTGTAATCGAGTACCAAATTGACCAATTGGCATTAATAGATTGATGTTATTAGAGCCAACATAATTTTGAGCCAAATTCACAATTGTTGACATTAATGATTGTTCTCCATGATGATATGCTGACATTTCACCAACAGCACCAGCCAATTGTGCAACTTTGACTTCTTTTTTATCGGCGCGTTTGAAACAAGTGAAGAGAACCTAAAAAATAAAATAAGAAATACAAAAGAAAAACAAAAGATAACCTTCCTCTGTCCAGGTTTCAATCCATCTACCAAACTAGGAATGGAGCGTTCATTGTCTGTATTCGAAAAAAGCACCAATTCTTTATTAATAAATTCCGAAAAGGTAACACTCCGAGTATCTTTATCATAAAGATAGATATCCATATCTCCACGTTCACGGCGCCGTTTTCTGTCCTAAAAATAAAAAATTAAATTTTCCATAAATTAAAACAAACCTCCATCCATTTTGTTAACCAATCCTTTCGATCTTCAATTTTCTTTTTGGAAAAGGCTAATTCAATTGCACTGTCATCATCTTCATCTCTATATTTGAAAGGAATGCGATGGCGAAGCATATTTGAGAAATATTCTTTTGCTTCAATGGATGTTGAAGTACCCAATCCTTAAACAAAAAATTATTTAATAAAAAGAAATTCCAATAATTACCCTTATAATATTTTATTTTCCAGGATTTCCAATTATCAGTTGATTTTCTCCATTCAACATATTCCGGGATTGAAAAGAAACTGCGAGATTCTTTTCCTTTAGATGCCTTAACAATTGGAGTAATAAATTCTTCAACAAAGTTTCGCCGAATTAAAGAAGGCCAATTTGAATGAATAAAGTTGATGACCAATCCTTTGATGTGAGAACCATCTTGATCCTAAAATAAGGGAAAAATTAATCCTTATCCTTCATAGATATTGGTGTCTGTAAGTACATTCACACATTACAAAACAACCCGCTAATAAACCCATGAACAATGTTGAGGATTTATAAAGATAAAGGATTTAAAATTACCTGATCAGCCATTATCATAATCTTTCCATAACGAAGAGAATCCAAATCGGCGTCAACATCATACTTCTTTTTATATTGAAGACCAATAATTTTAATCATATTATTAATTTCAGCATTGTCTGTTATCTAGAAAAAACAATTCCTATAAAATTAAGTCATGAAACACAACCTGTTTATGATTTGCATCTCTAACATTTAAAAGCTTTCCACGAAGAGGAAAAACCCCATAAAAATCTCTACCAATAACTCCCAAACCAGCAACAGCCAAAGTTTTGGCTGAATCCCCTTCAGTTAGAATAAGCGTACATTTACGAGAATTACGAGTTCCAGCTTCGTTCGCATCTTCCAATTTGGCAACTCCCTTAAAACAAAAATTAAACTAACAAAGATTTAAGAAGAAACCTTAAGCTTTGCAGTTTTCTTCCCTCCAATTTTATCCTTTTGCTGATTCTGCTTAAATTGAACCCAGTTCAAAACTAGATCGACAATTCCACATTTTTGTGCTTCTTTCAAAAACTTTTCACTCAATTCACACTTTGAACCAAAGCTTTTTGCAGGTAATGTAAGCGTCTCCTTTGTTTGTGAGTCGAATGCAGGATTCTCAATTAAGGAATTGACAAAAACCCACATATGATTCTTTATTTGTGCTGGTTTAACTGCCATATTATTCTTTCCAACTTTCTTCTTTACAATTTCAACAAGACTGCCAGCAATTTGATTAGCAACTAAATCAACATGAGTTCCACCCTTTAATATGAATTTTAAAATTGAAAAGCTTTCTTTTCCAAAAAACCTTTGGCGTAGAAATGCTGTTAACAAAAGAAACTTGTTTAAAATTTCCAGTGTCAGAAATACACAAAGCAACCTCCCAACGGTCACTAACAGTCTCAAAGGAAACTTTGACAGAACTACCATCATCATTATGCAGTTGACTAGTATATTGTTCAACATATTGTTTAAAGCCTTGACACTAAAAATTTTTATAAAAAAAATTTAAAAATGAAAATCAAACAGGGATTTTCTTTCCATTCAGAAAAACTTTAACTCCACGAGTTGTCCCAGCCATATCATATGCGCGACGTGACATTAATCCAATAATATCATCATCCAATTCTTCCATTTTGAAAAGCTTCAAATCTGGTTGAAAAACAACTTTTGTGTAATCATCCTTTGTACTATCCGAAATAGTTGCTTCTCCTTGCTTTTTCATACTATTAACCCAAGTCTTAAAAAAGGGAAAATATGAAGATATTAAAAAATCACGAAGAAAAAGACCTGCTTGAATTTCCGACCATATTCAGAACTAGAAGTTTCAACAGTAAACTTTTTGCTAAAAATATTGGTCAGCTTAGCCCCATAACCATTTCGACCACCAGTTGTCTTTTTCTCGTTGTCATTGTAATTTGAAGAGGTAAGCAACGTTCCGAAAATCATCTCTGGTACATACATCTTTTCAACCTTGTGCATAACAACAGGAATCCCACGACCATTATTCCAAACAGAGATCGAATTATTTTCCCTAAACTCAAACTTAATTCAAAATAAGGAAAAACAAACTTGTCAATATCAACTTTGATTGTATTCATTTTGGGATCCCTTTGTTTATTGTCAGCAGCATTTACAAGAATTTCATCAAATATTTTG